CCCCCCCCAAAAGTGTTTCTGTATCCACGCCGTCCAACAGAGACTTGCATCGAGTTCAAATCCTTCCACTCTTTCCTTCTCGCCTGTTCGCTCGTTTTGTTTGTCGTGACGGAGGATCGCGTCGTCTCTTTGGGCTTGCCTCACGCCACTGCGTTCATCCCGACTTCCTTCCACAGCTTCACCCCTTATCGTCCATGGAGCTGTGATCCGACCCGATAAGACGAGGTTGCGGGCTGCTTCGCAACCCCCAAGAAGCAAAACAATGTTCACCTCGTTGCTGCGACCTAGACGTCACAGTCGTCACGTCGATGATGATGGGCTACCGACTTCGCCTTCTGCGGGCCCAGCCTTTCGCAAGCCACCCCTGCGCAGACATGCCACGGCAGACTTCACGGAAGCTGATGATGACGACGAGGATTCAAACGACGGTATGGGCGATCAATACGTTGAGGGAGATGAAGAGCAAGACGATGAGGACAACAGACTAGACGACGAGGATGGCGTGCGTCGCTCCCTGCCTGTGCTACCTCTCTTCTCCGCCTCCTATCTCGGTACGTTGCAGCTTTGGCTTCAGCCCCTCCTGCTTCTCGTCAGTCCTAGCATCACTAACGCCAGTTGCACCACGCAGACTCCCTACCGATTTACAACATCACCCATGCGATCCGTGTCGTCGTCCAAGCCAGAACCGAAACGAGTTTAACATGGGAACAACTTCGCTCGCCCCAGGTCTCCCAATTCCTGGTGAAGCCCATGCAGCAGCAGATCCGTACACAGCACTTCTCCAGAGCAACACTATATGCGCTGATGGCGAACTGTCTCCAATTTCACAAGGAGAGCCAACTGTATCCAGGCAACGCCGGCACGAGCATCACACGCGCCAAGGTTTGCGAGCTGCTAGCGGTCAAGCTGCTCAAGGAGTACAACACGCGCGAACTGATTGACGCGCTCTCCTACGATTTCTACCCACTCCAGGGGCTGCCTGGCATCCAGCTCCCTGTGACCAATTCCAAGGCAGATGCCACGGCCAAGGCTGGACTCACGGCCGCAAGGACATCGACACTCGAGGTTGCGATTCGTGCCTCAGCAAAGCACTTTTTGGCACATCCTCTTGTTGTGCAGCAGTTGGAGGCCATCTGGAACGGTGCCATCACTTTCTACTCATCGGCGGATACACTGCACCGGGGACCACCTTCAACACCAGTTTACCCTCCCAGCAAGAGCTCAAGCAAAGCCGACGACCGGACGCCGCTCTTAGGCGGACAGCAGCGGAAGGAAATTGCAGCACAAGCTGTTCCCGGCAGACGGAGCGTTATTCTCTACGATCCGCGCAATGCTTCCTTATTCAAGCTATCACGCCTGCGTGTGCCTCGATACAGATTCTTCTTGTCGACTCTGTCGCTCATGGTCTTGATCTGCCTGTTCCTGAGTGTGCTGGTGGAGCGGTCTACACGAATCACCTCTCTTGAGCTCATATTCTGGTTCTGGTCCGCCGGCTTCATGCTCGATGAACTCGTCGGTTTCAACGAGCAGGGCTTTTCCCTCTACATCATGAGCTTCTGGAACATCTTTGATCTCGGCATCCTCGTCCTTCTCATCATTTACTACTGCATGCGTGCCTACGGTGTCTTTCTCGTGGACCCAGGCCATTGGAACGACCAAGCCTACGATGTGCTCGCCGCCAACGCCATCCTCCTTCTACCCCGTATCTTCAGCGTGTTGGACCACTACCAATACTTCTCCCAGCTGCTCATTGCATTCCGGTTGATGGCTGTGGATCTGGCTGCCGTGCTAGTCCTCGTCCTCATTTCCTGCAGCGGCTTCTTCGTATTCTTTACTCTATCCAAGAATTCCAATGACGCTGGAGAAGTCGCGTACAAGATCTTCCAGATCTTGATGGGCTTTACACCCGCGGCTTGGGATAAGTGGCCGACATATGGAATTCTCGAGAGGACTCTGATGGGGTTGTTCCTGATCATGTGTCACTTCGTTGTTGTGTGAGTTGACATCAGTTCTGTCATATAGAACTAGGTCACTAACCTTACCAGCACAATCCTCATCACCGTTTTGACGAACTCATTCATGAAAATTGCGAGTAATGCTACAGAGGAGCACCAGTGAGGAACAGCCCTACAGACCCATTGTTACGCAAGCTAACGAATGCCAGGTTCTTGTTTGCACTCAACACCATCTCTATGGTCAAGAACGATGCCCTATTCTCATACGTTGCCCCCGGCAACATCTGTGCCTGGTTGCTGATGCCACTTCGTTACTGCATGCCCCTACAGCACTTTGTTCTGTTGAACCGGACTATCATCAAAGTAACACACTTTCCTCTGCTGTTCTGTATCTTTGCATATGAGAAGTTCTGGTTGGCATCCAACATATATGAACCTACCGATCTCGTCGAAAACCCCGGCCGCGGACGTGGGAGACACATGTCTCTCGCCGATCCAGCCAACCGCGGCGCAATGTTCAGCCCCAATGTTCGGGTTCGGGAAGAATCGGTAGTAGGCTTCCAAAAAGACAGGGCTTTGGAGGAAGTGTTCCGGCGAGGACCTGGCATTGCCACCCTCCGAAGCCACAGAAGAAACGAAAGGAGAAAGACACAAAACGCTATCCGAAATTGGATGGAACAGCATGACGAGGTCGGATCGTCCCCCGGCAACCGCGAATGGCCGACTTTAGACAGCAAAGCTGCACGGCCGGACTGGCACCGCAGGTTCAGCATGAATCGAGACTACCGGCCTAATAGGCTCAGGCAGTTTTCTGACCTGCGTTCTGCTGCTAGCGATCCAGCAGACATGATGTCCCAGGGGCACCCGGCCATTGGCGCTTCCCTTCCTCGCAATGAGAAAAACTTCAGACGTGGGGAAGAAGTGAAGGACCAAACAGACGCCGACGGTGATGACGAATTGGTCACGAACGATGAGGAGGAGGAAGATGAGATGACCAACGCTGGCGACCACCAGCGTACCCGCTACGAGAGGCATACCGAACAAGAAGACTACTTCACAACAGCACAGGCAACACACTATCATGCCCCGAAGACTTCTTCGCAAGGGTCTAACGGCAAGACGCCTATGGCGGGGTCGCCTCGAACTGCCAACAGGCGCGCACTTCATAACCGGACTCTTTCAACCAATACGATATTGTACGCGCCACAGCCGGCACGACGAGAACCAAGCGTTTCGTCTGCGTCACCGCCGGAGCCGACAACCGTTCGCTCCCGTCCTCTGAGCGCCCGTGCCTCCATCATTGAAGTGCCGTCAGGTAGTGGTCATCGCTCGCCCCGTAGACAGCTGTACATGACTTCAGTCAAGCCCAGGCCGATCATGCCGCCGCGGGACTTGGTGCAGACAGCTCCCAACCGAGCTGGACTCATTCCTGTGGAGTCGCGTCAAAGGCTCGGCGGCGTCCGCAGACTTTCTTCGATTGATCTCAGTGCCATGTCCGATAACACGAATTTGATGGCTCCTGATGATCCGAATGGGGCCGTCCCGTCGAGTTTCCAAACCCAGATGGCGATGGCGTTGATGAAAGACTCACGTCTTGCCGGGGGGCGCAGCAGTGACGCTGCGGACAGGGACCGTATGAGCCGCCTTGTTCTCGCACGCATGAAGACGCTCGAAGAGAGTTTCGCAGACGTGGCACGAGAACTACGTGGACTCAAGACGAATTCCAATTCGACAGCGCCGCCGACTAGGCACAACTCTTCGGGAGAAGACAATTCGAAAGCATCCCGATCATCTATAGCCGATGCAGCTGGTCGGGACCGCCGGAAAGGGCCGGATGAGGCTCGACCCAAGATACTCAAAAGGACAACGACTGTCACCAAGAGGCCCGGAAGCCGGAAGAGTATGATGGAGCCCCGCGTTGGGATGACGAAGTCCAAAAATAAGGGCAAGGAAGTGGCTCAATCGTCTGATTCGGATGATGGGAGGGCCGGCGACAGAGGTGAAGATGGCTTCGCGAAGAAGGGCAGCTCACTCTGAGCATAAGGCAACAATTTGAGGAGGTTCGGACAAAATCCGAACGCCAAGACGTCGGAGATGTGGTCACAGGCCGCCCTGGTGGCGGATTTGCATTGCTTCAGCGAGCATGTAGCGAGCGAGCATAATGGTGTCATAGACGGCACAGAGGTGGAAGGGGAGATATTGTATTGTACTTGTTTGATATCACGTGGGTTGTTTTGCATTTGAAGCCAGACTCTTCAGCTCGCAGGTAGGCTGTTGCTACCTGATGTGTTGGTGTGGGGGTTGGAATTAATCGATACCCAATCTTCGACGCCTCTCCAGTGCAGTCTTGACCTGTTCTGTTGATTTGTGGATGTGTTCGCTTATTTGCTTTCATTATTTTTTTTAGGCCGCGTTTTCGGTGTGTATTTGATGATACATATTCGGCGTGAAATCGTTACTACGAGAAAAGTGACTTATAGCTTGTCGGACATGGGGAGGCCGAGATGAATAGCAAGGGAGGGGGTGCTATCAGACACCGCCTCCGCTGCGGTCAACGCGTACGTATAGGTCGGGCGCGGCCTGTTCCTTGGATCTCATGGACGAGGACTGGTACTTGACTGTCGCCAAGGCGGCGACGACAAGAGTCGTGGCGATGACGACCGGGCGGTTGCGGCTGAGATGACATGTTAGCGAGGGCCTAGGCCAGGTATGGGGGGGGAAGAGGGTGACGAGGGGATGACCCTGACGGGTCTGGTAAGGAAGGGGGGGATATGATGGGACGTACGAGAAGGCACCGGCATGAAGCCTGACTGGCTGTCTTGGTTGGCGCGGAGTGAAGGCCATGCTGAGTAGGGAGATGAGATGGATGTTGGCGAGATGTCGGGGAATTTGGTGTCGAAGACGGTTCAAAGAAGAATGTCGTCAACAAAGTCGGGAAGTGGGGGCGGATGAGATCTGGAGAAGGATTAAGATGAGAAAGCAGGAAGAGAAAATAAGAAGAAGGAGAAGAAGCAGTAGAGATGGCCTGCTGGGAACTGGCAAGGTTTTGTGAGATCATCGACTGATCAATGATGGTTATCTCGAAGGGGGGGCCACCTAGACCCCGGATTCCTGGGGGGGCAAGGGGGGCGCTGCACGCTGCACGCGACAGCTGGGAAAGAGTGCGGGGGTTGGCCCAAGCTCCCGGGGCGGTGGGGTCTGCGTTTGCGGTCTGGATCCTCGGTGAGGATCCGCTTCAGCAGAGGATTGGGTGGCAACTCACCGAGCATCCCTGCCTAGAGGGTCTTTCTGTTGAGGGGGCTTGAGGGGTAAGTTGAGCTCCGAGGATGGGACCGGCACTTGTCAGGGTCTAGACTACTATCTTTGCCCGTGTGATGTGGAATGGTTATCCAGATGGGAGGTCATGAGGCTCACATCAATTGGCATTCATGGTCTACCATGGGTATTCGTATCTTACTGTGCTCCATATTGAGGGGGGCGAATCTCCTTGTCTCAGCCTGTTGGCTTGCTAACTTGCTGCCTTACCTGCTGTTTCATACTGCCCAGTACGACAGCTCAGCTCCAGAGTTCTCGTTCTCAACGACACTTACATCAAGAGGACTGGCCTTCCTCTTGGATATTCAAGCTTCGAGTTGGTCCAAATGATAGGTGTTGTCTAACCTATATCGCTCTCGCCTTGTTTCGCAGGAAAACAAATTCGATCCTGGTCTCCGCAAAGATGGATTCACAGCACCATGTAAGTGCAGGGAGGGCTCAAGGCCTAAGCCAAGTCCATCGATATCACTACCAACCGATAAAAAGATGCCGAGTCCCCACGCGAAGGATGCTGCCCAAGGACTGACTGGTAGGACCGGCCGGGCAATTCATTGGTTGCCTTATTGTACCGCCACTATGCGGTCGTGCTTGATGTCAATCCATTTCTGGCTTCCGCCCTTGTCAGACACCGAGAACAGGATGATTGGTGCGGATTGGATTGTGACTGCTGCCTTGGACAGCTGGCTGCATGATGTTGCTCACACCCCGCCAACGACAACGAGAAGGCTGCTGTTGGACAAGATGCACATTTTTCAATCTGACAACAAATTGCTTTGTTATGGCCAGCAGCTTTTCATTCTCGACATTCCGTCTCCTGGTTTGGAAACCATCGCCTTTGGCCACTTTCTTCTCCCATCGGAGACTCCTCTGTCCACAACGTGCTACAAAGCCTTGACGCACGTCGCACCATCGCGCACGCCGACGTCGCGCTTGGCGGATGCTCATTCTGAGCCCACAAGCGAGACTCTTTCACATTGGTTACCTGCGAGAAGAATCATCGTTATCGGCCAAAACGTTGGCACTGCCCAGCCGTCGACATGAATAACCTTGACGAGAGTAACATTGCCCGCACCTACCTGCACAATGCGCAGTATGAGATGAATGAGGGAGACACAGTTGTCTATATCAACATGCCGTCGTGGACCTTGGTCGAGCCCATAGACTGCGTCGGTGACACCTGGAGATCGCTCCACGTCAAGATGCACTCGGACAAGATTCGCAGCCTCAAATCGTCAAAGTTCAATAGCAAGCTTAAAGAGCTCCCGCCTACTCCGCCACTCGACAAGAACGGCCTCTTGAGGGAGGAGCTTGTTGGTATGAAGTATGTCATGGACCTGACCCCCAGCATTGAGGGCGAAGAGGTCGTATACGAAATGGCCGAGATGTCCCTTACGCCGGGCATCATCGCCTGGTGGCGCAGCCAAGACACCTTTGAGGTTGATGCGGCTGCTGTCAACGGCCACGACGATGTCTGCCACTGTGGAAAGAAGCCGCCCCATTTCGAGGTTGCCGACGACAAGTTCAACATATGGAGCCGTCCGCCGGACCACCGCAACATTCCCGACTATTGCCCCATCAGACATCGCATTTGCATCCTCCGTCTGTTGTATCTCATCGAAGGCAAGCATGTCTTGCTCGACTCAGCTCCGCGTGTCTGGACGATGATTGCGATTTCCAAAATCTTCGGCTGTCCTGGTCTCATGGTATGTGCTCGCAACCTTCCTTCCTTCCTTCCTTGTCGATATGGCCATAGAACACCAGGTCTATCGTAACCCCTGTCAGACTCAAACCGCTTACAAGTTCATAGGTCAAGCCAGTAGCCCAATGGCTTTTGATGTGGCGAAATTCAACCTTTCTTGAGGTTCTTCCCGAGGAAGGGTTGCAGATTGGCATGACGTTCAAGTTCATCGACGTGACCCGATTCGTGTTTGAGATTTTGGTCTACGAGAAGGCACTCAAGGATGCTGGCGACAGCGGACGGTCGGCAGCGCCCAATACCACCATCTTCGGCCGCAAGGGCCGCGACCCTGGCGATGACCTCGACAACATGGTTCAACACGCGGCCCAGGCTTTAGTCCAGCGCAACTCTTCTGTGATGACTGTGCTTGGGAGCGATTCAGTCTTTGAGGACCTGGACATTCCCGAGTGGAAGCGACTTGCCGAAGTTCGGCGCAGACTCGCTGCTGAGACGGATAGCCATGAATGTGCGGCGGCTGTCGTGGTCCTCGACCATCTGAAACAGCGCATCTTGCACTTCTGGCGCAAGAACATCTGGGAGGAAGCTTTGGGATGTCTCACAGGGCCCGAGTGTGGGAAAGTTGACGACTTTCGCTTCCGCTACGTCGCACCGAATAGCCGCGAGCCTCTGAACACCATCTACGACCGCATGAACCCGGTGCAGAAGGGCATGTGTCTTTTCTTCCACAACCGCATCAACACTATCGCGAGAACAGGTCCTTGGCAGCCCGAGCCCCTGACGCCTGAGAGCCCCGCAACAAAATCCCTGACCTTTGCCCAGCGGTATGTCGGTGTCCTCGCCGTGGCCCTGAAGCGATCTTTTGAGAAGGTTATTGCGGCGCGGCCTCAGCTCTTTGCCGACTTTGACCGGGACTCGAAAACAGGCGTGGCTACCACGAACCCTTTCCGCCTCATCAGGTTCGACACCGAAGTCTTTGAGGTGCTACGTGAGTGTGTCGAAATTCCGCGCAACGACTTCTTCGACGTCCCCAAGAAGCGCACGCCCTCGCGCTTCCTAACGAATCACTTTCTCGCCTTTCTTGTGCCCGACGAGGTCAAGTTCCTGCCCGTCTGGGCGGGTGGGCAGGATGATGGGACCGGGCGGGTGTTCAACGACGAGCTGCCGCCCGCTGAGGACGGGCCGGACACGGGGTTCAGGGGCGGCGCGGCAGTCGTTTCGCCTTCGTTGGCATCAATGTCCGTTGTTGAGGGGCTGCGGGGGTTGGATCTCGAGTCGGTCCTAGCGAGCGAGACGACAAGCATGAACGTGCACAAGGATGGATCCATCATTTATAACCCCGGCCGGGTTATTGTGGACGACGAGTCGATCCACTCGGAGACTTTCACGGAGACTGGGGATGATTATGAGGCTGCACGACGGGAGACGTAAACGCCAACATTGTGGGACAAAGACGAAACATGATCTGGGAGGCACCGGGCACATAAATTCGACGCTTCACAACTTGAGGCGTGGGACTATCTAGAACACGAGTCTGCTATTTTTAATGATGCCACGAGGATCGAAACATGAAAACCCTAGAACCAGGTTACGCCGACGTTGGCAAGACCACATCGCATCCCTTGGTGTGCCAGCGGAGGAAGTGTACCTAGCGGGTCTGCTCAGGCAAATGACACATGTGAACTTGAGTTGCTATTACGAGCAGCAAGTGAATGAACTAGCACGTTTGCATCTCTTGGGTATCGCTGCCATTATCTTGACGAGGCCACCTTGCCATTAAGTCATCCCAGAAAATCTACCCCCTATTTAACGTGTTTCCAGCCCCCTTGGGGTTCGCCTCGACAAACTCGTCCCAAGCCCTCGCTTTGTACGTAGCTTCATCCGCCTTTTCGTAATCGTCCTCATCCGGCTCGGGTCTGTGAAAGCTGGCCTCGCCACCGCCCTCGATAATGCCGCCACGCTTCCTCTCCTCCTCCAGATACTCGTCAATGCTCATGGTCGGCAGGTTATGGCCCGTCCTAAAGACGCCAGCTTGCGCCTCCTCGCGCGAACCGACGAGCGTAAAGGGCCGCATGGGCTTCCCAGCTTTGCTGAGCAGCGGCCCGCTCTGTTCCAGTATGCTGCGCAGCCGGCGCGGCTCCAGCCTCTCGGCGTGGCCGCTCTCCTCAGCGGCGCGGCGCCGGCGCGCGTCCTCCTCGACCGTCTCCCTCGCCGGCAGCAGCGGCCGCGCGGTCGCCGCCTGCGCGAGGACCTCGAGCTCGCGGTTCAGCCCCTCGAGGCCCTGAAAGGCGTTGTGCGCGGCAAACTCGAGCTGGGCGAGGTACAGCGCGCGCAGGATCTCCTCGTCGCCGTCATCGACGTAGCGGGGATTGGCGGCGAGGGTGGCGAGCCGGGCTTTGAGATCCTTCTCGGCCCTGAAATTCGCGATCTTGGCGTCGCGCCGCTTCGAAGGGTCGGAGGCGGCGACGGTGGAGAAGGCGGCGGGGTCGTCGGTGTAGCGGGAGTAGAGGGTCTTGTGGGCGGGCGTGAGGATCTCGTACGAGTCGAGGGAGGCTAGGAAGCGCTCGTAGGCTTCGCGGGCTTCAGAGAGGACCAGCTCGCGGTCGATGGGGTTCGGGGTCGGGGTCTTGAGGTAGAGGTCGGCAAGGAAGGATTCCGTGAGGAGGTAGGGGAGGTCTGGGGTCGCAATGTCGTCGAGGGGTTCGTTCGGGGAGAAGAGAGAGACACGGGAGATCGTTTGGATGGTATCGCGATGGGCCTGAATGGCGGTCTCGAGGTCGGCGGCGTAGGAGGGGTTGGACACTGGTGAGGTAGCTTCGATGGCCTGCCGTTTCTGCGCGGCGAGCGCGGCGATCTGTTTGAGGGTGCGGGGCTCGTTGTCGTCTGCCATCGCGAGATGCTGTGCAGACGAGAGGGCGGTTTGGATGCGAGATCAGGGTCTCAAACGACAAAGTATGGGTGCTCCACGTTCTTTCGACTGGCTGTAGCGAGAGAGCAGGCTCAAGAACGGGGTCGGGGGGTTACTGAAATCAAAGTTGGCAGCAGTGGCAATTGGCAGGTTGCCCCGCGAAGTGGATGATGTTCCAAGTCTAGAGCTCTCTTATCTTATCTCCGCCAACGAGTGGTCAAACAGCTGTTTGGAAGCTTCCTTCCACCGAGCGTCGTCAGCAGCAACATCTTCAGATCAGGTAGAACAAGAGTATGCCATAGACACATCTGGGGCGCAAACCATGCATCCTCCATCGTCGTGTAGGCAGCTTGCCGTGCGGCTTGTAGGTGTAGCAAAGATGACAAACACAGTTTGAAATTCTGACTGATCCTCCATCTCGAAGACTGCTCAGTTGAGATGGTAACCATCATGCTATTAGGTCTAGTTCAAGATGGAGAGCCATCCATTCTATATGTAGCATCGATGCTCCGCCACGACTGACCTCAAGTCTGATAAGTGATACATTTTGCGACGAATCCTCCTTCTGATCGACTGTGGAATTGTCACCAAGATTCACCCGTTCGCCTTGCTATCCTTGGTCTATTCACCGAAAGCTAACAATCAACTTACATGGCAACGCGAAGAGGTAGAGGCGTTTACGTCTGGGGAACGGCTCTCTAGGTCCAGGAAGATCCACCATCGGATTTGAACCATTCACTCGGCGACTTCCTTTGAATCAGATACTACGGTGAATTAAAGCTTCGACTTCGCCAGGAACACGAGGAAGGAGCACCAACCGCCAACACTGATCAGGATTACAAAAGAGCTCACTTCTTCTCTTCACACCCCTACTGATACTTTTCCCCCTGACAACGCCATATATCTCAGCACTTGCAGCGGTCACGAAGCGCCTCAACTTACACGGGACGTCTACTCGCTTCCTGTGCATGCTTGCTTGAGAGGATGACTGCTGACAAGCTCCCTACTGGTCTGGACGTCACCGTCATCTCGATTCTCGCAGATGTACCGGAAACCATAGCTTCCAGCACATCTACATCCACGACGGGAAAGGAAGATGGACACTTCTATGTCAACAGATCCACTCAGGGTACCGCCACAACCCAGGATAGCCAGAGTCGAGTTTCTGGCGACGATGAGGATGACTTCAGCAGCCACGATGAAGCTGACGAAAATTCAGACGATCGACAGCACAGCATGACCCCAGAAAGGCCTCGTAAAATCACCGAGAAGAAGCGCGCAGATCACGCTGCCTTTCACAGCTGGCTTCAGAGCAACTCCAATGAGATCGCTCAATCGGCCCCTCAGCCGGTTCAAACCCTCAACCACACCTCCACTGCCATGATGGTACGCGAGAGTGAGAATCGCAAGATCATAGCAAATCCTCGGGAGTATCAGATTGAGCTCTTCGAGCGGGCGAAGCGAAAGAACATCATTGCTGTGTTACCCACTGGATCAGGAAAGACCTTAATCGCAGCCCTCCTTCTGCGACACACCCTCGAACAAGAAACCGCGGATCGACGAGCGGGCAAGCCCAAGAGAATCGCCTTTTTCCTCGTGGAAAAGGTCGCCCTTGCCCTCCAGCAACATGCGGTTCTGGAGTGCAATCTTGAATTTCCCATTGACCGTGTGTGCGGTGACATGGTACGGTCGGACTGGATCAAGGAGTCATGGATGAAAAGATGGGATGACAACATGGTCATGGTCTGCACCGCCGCCATCCTTCAGCAGTGCCTTGCCAGATCTTTCATCCGCATAGATCAGATCAACCTGCTTGTCTTCGATGAAGCACACCACGCCAAGGGAAATCATCCGTATGCCCGAATCATCAAAGACTACTACATTACTGAACCTGACAAGGAAAGGCGCCCCAAGATCTTCGGCATGACTGCCTCTCCGGTGGATGCCCTCACCGATGTCAAGATTGCTGCCGCTCAACTCGAAGGTCTGTTGCATAGTGAGATTGCGACAATCGAGCAGGACTCTGCATCATTCAAACAAATCCAGAAAGAGGTCGTCGAACAAGACTGCAAGTACTCTGCTCTCGAACCACCCTTCACTACCAAACTTCATAAGAAGATTCAAGAACAGGTGCGCTACAACAGGAACTTTGCAAAGGCGTTAAGCCACTCTTTGGAAATGTCGAGCTCCCTTGGCAGTTGGTGTGTCGATCGCTTCTGGCAGATATTTCTGACTGAAGAAACCCTCGCGAGAATGGCAGCGCAAACCGCACAAGACAATATTTTTGCCGATCGCGCCGAAAGGGAGCACGTTGCCATTGAGGAAGTCCGCAATATCATCAAGCAACATCAGTTCCTCCCAGTCACCAAAACTCTGCAAGACTTGTCGTCCAAAGTGCTGTGTCTCCTCGGTCAACTGGAACTGCGCTTCAGTGCTCCTACCGATCACAAGTGCATCATCTTTGTGGAGAAACGAAACACAGCCATGATTCTTGCTCACCTCCTCTCCTTGCCTGGGATTGGACCTCTATATCTGAAACCGGCTGCGCTTGTAAGTGAAATGCATCGGGAATCGTTGGTGCCGTACTAAATAGCATCAGGTTGGGAATCCATCTGATAACAGCCCTCTTGCCATGTCGTACAAAGAGCAAGTGATGACAATAACTAAGTTCAGACGCGGCGAATTCAACTGTCTTCTCGCCACTTCTGTGGCCGAGGAGGGCATTGACATCGCAGACTGCAACATAGTCATTCGATTCGATCTTTTCAACTCTGTGATTCAGTACATACAATCCAAAGGCCGCGCTCGGCACTTGAACTCGGAGTATATTTGCATGGCCGAGCTAGGCAACGGCAAGCATACAAGGGCGAAGATACAAGCAAATTATGACCTCTCCCTCATCCGCCAATTCTGCAGCACACTGCCAGAAGACCGCAAGATCGTGGGCTGGGATCCCGAGGCAGCTCTTCACCATGGCGAGCGCGACCACGAGTTCCACATCATTCCATCCACGGGGGCCAAACTTACCTGGACCGGCAGCCTCGTGGTTCTGTCAACTTTTGCCTCTTCTCTACAGGTGAACGACGAAACCCTAAGTCCTTCCTATATGGTGTCTCTCATCGGTAGCGAGTACATCTGCGAAGTCCAGCTTCCGAGCAAATCTCCTATCTTGAGCGTGTCAGGCACGCTCCAGAAAAACAAGGCAGAGGCCAGGTGCTCCGCAGCGTTTGAGATATGCATGAAGCTCATCAAGGGTGGGTTCATCAGCAATCACCTTCAGCCGACGTTTGCCAGAAAGCTCCCGGCCATGCGAAACGCACGCCTAGCCATCAGCTCCAAGAAACGTGATCGGTACAATATGAGGGTCAAGCCAGAGGTATGGTCACGGCGCGGACCGGCATCCTCTCTGTTCCTCACAGTCCTGAAGCTTCGTGCACCTGGTGCATTGAACAGGCCATCACAGCCACTCGCCCTCCTCACACGAGAGGTACTGCCAGAGCTTCCAGGAGTTCCGCTATTTTTCGGTAACTGTGGTCGGTCCATAGCAGAGGTAATATCTGTGGTGAAGCCCATGCACTTGGATGAAATACGTCTAGACAGCCTTAGAGTCTTCACCCTGCGCATTTTCAAAGACGTCTTCAGCAAAGTATACGAGTCCCAAGTCGCAGACCTGCCATACTTCCTGGCACCTGCTGCTCATGACCACAGTCATGAGTTCTCACCGAATGAAGACCCAGGGTCGCTGATTGACTGGAATCATCTGATGTTGACCAAAGAGGTCGAGTACTTGCCTTGGGATGAAGACCACAGTCCCAGCTTCTATCAAAACAAGTTTGTAATTGATCCATATACGGGATCGCGGAAGCTGTTTCTCCGAGGCATTCGGACAGATCTCAAGCCAACCGACTTGGTTCCAGACGGAGTTGCCGATCCCCCCTTCAGGCTCTGGAAGGACGTTGAGCATACCATAAAGGAATACAGCATCAGTCTTTGGGCCAAGAGTCGAGCCCGGAGAGCTGGTGAATGGTTGGCGAAACAACCCGTGGTAGAAGCTGAGTTGGTCTCGCTGCGCCGGAACCTACTCGACGGATTCGCCGATTCCGAACAAGAAGGGTCTAGGATCTGTTATGTGATTCTCCAGCCGCTACAGATCTCAACACTCCCTGTCAAGGTCGTCGCTATGGCCTACAACTTTCCCGCCATCATCCATCGGATTGAATCGAACATGATCGCCCTTGACGCCTGCCGTATGTTGAACCTCCAAGTTCGTCCCGACTTGGCTCTCGAGGCGATGACCAAAGATTCGAGCAACAGTGACGAGCAAGACCAGGAGAAGATTGATTTCCAGGCCGGCATGGGCAATAATTATGAGCGACTCGAGTTTCTCGGAGATTGCTTTCTCAAAATGGCAACCACCATCGCACTCTTTACTCGGATCCCTGACAGCAACGAATTTGAGTATCACGTCGAGCGAATGCTTCTTATTTGCAACCAGAATCTGTTCAATGTTGCATTGAAGAAGAACTTGCAAGAGTACATCCGATCAAAGCAATTCGATCGCCGCAGTTGGTACCCCCAGGGTCTGAAGCAGAAGGCGGGCAAAGCCCAAGGAGCACAAAACTCACACTCATTAGCCGACAAGTCTATTGCTGATGTATGCGAGGCCATGATTGGCGCCTCCTATTTGTCATACGCTGACGAGGGTAACTTTGACATGGCGGTACGCGCTGTGACGGCCGTCGTGAGAAACAAAAATCATGACATGAAATCATATGAGGACTACTACAACGCTTTTAAGATGCCGGTCTGGCAAGCGGCCGAGCCAAGCGCTGTGCAGATGGAAGCGTCTCTACATATCAAAGAGCAGATGGGATATGAGTTCAAGTCTCCTGCTCTGCTGCGGAGTGCCTTCAAGCACCCGTCCTACCCCCGTCAGTTTGAGAGCGTGCCCAATTACCAGCGCCTCGAGTTCCTCGGTGACGCGCTTCTAGACATGGTCTGCGTCGACTTTCTCTTCAGGAAGTTCCCCGACGCCGATCCCCAGTGGCTCACTGAACACAAAATGGCCATGGTTTCGAACCACTTCCTCGGAAGTCTGAGTGTGGAGTTGGGCTTCTACCGGCGTGTCCTGCACTTCAGCAGCATCATGACCAACCAGATAAAGGACTACGTCGACGCACTTACTCATGCACGTCAAGAAGCCGAAGCGGCGGCCCAGATCTCTGGCGTGATCTCGCAAGATTACTGGCTCAACGTGCAGCACCCCCCCAAATTCCTCTCAGACGTGGTCGAGGCATACATCGGTGCTATTTTCGTTGATTCAGGATACGATTATAGCCAGGTACAGGCATTCTTCGAGAAGCATATCCGGCCTTTCTTCGCAGACATGGCGCTGTATGATTCCTTTGCCAGCAGCCACCCTGTCACGACGTTGGCGCGCATGATGCAGCAGGACTTTGGCTGCCAGGACTGGCGGCTTCTTGTAAGTGAGCTGCCGCCGAGCTGCGAAGACGGAGGGGCAGCTGCAATCACTGAGACGGAAGTGATTTGTGGGTTCATGGTCCATGGAAGAATCCTGCTACATGCCAAGTCGTCGAGCGGACGGTACGCCAAAGTGGGTGCTGCGAAGAGAGCGGTTGAGAAGCTAATGGGTCTCGGTAACGACAAGGAGGCCTTTCGGGAGGACTTCGGCTGTGACTGTGACTGTGATGGTCAAGCAATCTAGAAGCTGTCGATGAATGCGGAGGGTGAGTGGACGTCTCGTCGGCGGGGCCCCTTGATGCGAGCGCCCGTTGGAGGATGTTGTGGCACTAGATTCTCTAGGCCGGCGGTAACTTTCATTACCATATGAGAAGCAAATACGGCGCCTTCATCACAATAATAAATATCGATTTCGAGTCGATTCCAGACCCATTACGGGCCTATGTCTGTGCAATCAATCGGGTGCTGATTTCTTGCATTATCATTAAGGACGTTGTCTATTTGAGTCTCAGGTCCAGCTGGTGCTTATAGGTTGTCTCAAGTATGACTACCTCTCTCTCTCTCTTTGCCATTCCTAACTGATTCTATCTCATAGTTTTCCCTTCACGTCTATAAAGAGGGAATCTGCCTTGACAAGCACAGCCCCCTGCTCGTCCTCGACAGTCCCTAACAGGAAGCTTTTCCTTCCCTCGATGCGCAGCACCTTGGCCCGACAAAGGTACGTCGCCGGCACCGGGACGGGTTTCAGATAATTGATGTTCAGGTACCCCGTCATGTGCGCCTGAGTGGACACGGCGCCCCACGACTTGTTCATAGCCATGGTGAGACCCAGGACCTCATCCATGAGGGCGGCGATGAGGCCGCCATGGCACAGGGAGGGGTGACCGGCAACGTCAGTGCCAATGGTGACGAAGAAGTCGATCTCCTCAACGAGGGGCGGGGCGTCTGGCGCAGGGGCCTCGTGGAAGGAGAGGAAGGCCTTGATGGCGCCCGGTGCGTTGAGGACTGTGGCGAAGAGGTTGTCCTCACCCGAGAGTTTGGGGAAGCGGCAGACGGGGGTCTCGTAGATGGTGCTGGGTGTAAGGTGGGCGGCGCACCAGGGGATAGAGAGGAAGTGCTGGAGGTCTGGATTCTCCGGTGTCATGGCCAAGACATCGGAGTTTGTCTGTTTCGTTTTCGCTGCTTCACCTTCCATTGCAAAGTAACATTAATGTGTGTGTAAATGAACGGTATCTACCAGGCTGCTGGCCGTGTGAGTTGTTATAACAAGAGGCGCGATGTTCTGTACCGAGGTAAGCTCCACTTTTCTCCGTGTGGCCTGTGCGAAGGTCCGCCCGCCCCTGAGGTTTGGGTACCAGTTGCTCAGGAAGGCCCTCGCAACAACGATCGCAAACTTGCTGGCACAATCTCTCATCTAGTACCTCGGAAGAACGAGATTGAAACGTAACAGAGGAGATCAGTTCGAATGCCTCGCTACCATACCTACATTCATCATAACCGGCGCATTGCATTGAGTGCGTGCTCGATATGTTTGGGAACAGGTGCTCCGCCACCGGCCATCACTGCCTGTTCGTCTTTCAAGAAGAGGGGTAGCAGGCACGGCTGGGGTTGATGAGCAGCCATGACTGAATGGGCAGTCATGACTGGACTCGAAACAACTCGTAGCTGCTTCTTCAAATGGATCTGGCTCTGCATTCATACGAGTATCTAGAAGCAGTGCTCCAGGAACAGTGAACTGCAAGAAGGCCTTCGTGCCAACTCTGCTTCACGACTCGTTGCTTTTGTCGTACACATGCACAACCACAAACATCACAGCCGGAGTAGAGCTTTTATTTCGCCTCTGAAGTTCCTTATAGTCACACAATATCTATCATGCTACGTCACATATCGTTGCCGGATATGCCGCCCATGAAGGAGGAGAACCCATACGGCTGCCTCGGGCAAAACCAGACGCTCCCAGCAGATCTCTTTCGCAAATCATCCGGTCCCAGGCGTGCACCCCTTCTCGCCAATCTGTAGGACAGAAGCGCTGAGTCAAGGGAGCTGACTGACACGGAGAAGGCTGCTATTGCAGGCGAAAAGGTGCGCGCCAAGCTGCGGAACCTCTTCAATGCTCCGACGGGCGCCGAGAACATACCTAGGGGCCAGCAGCTTCCGCGATTTCTTCCTTTTGAGGAACGTGCGGAATGGCGCAAGGCCAACGCCGTGACACTCACTTCTGGTGCTGCTTTCCCGTCGTATAAGTCGAACAGGTTCAAGGCAAGGAAAGCTTCGGTCAATATGGATCTTTGTCTTCTGGATGACTATTCTCCTTCGCCGCAGGAGTACACGGAACCTGATATCCTCATGAAAGTCCTTCATCACGGCCAGGGTCTTAGTAGCAAGACATCTTTGTCTGCACAAGCTGATGAACATGTCCAGAAGAAACACCCCCAGGAAGCCGACAATTGCCACTCACACGAATTCTCGTCATCCTCATATATTAGTGCTAGGATCGGCAAGATTCAGTCACGGTCAGAATCCCCTGTTCAGTCTGTCGCGAAGGACGCGATACCAGATACCCAACTCCTGCAAGCTATCCGCAAGCTTCGAATCAGTTCGTCGAGCCCTGGAGTTCAAGGCACATCATCGGCTGCCACCGAACATCGCATCTCTCGGTCCCACAGTTCAAGCAGCCGCAAGCTGTCATCCACAAAGAAGTCTCGAAATGCGAGACGTGCTATTAGCTCGAACAATGGCAACAATGAACATCTTCATAAAACAGAGATCAAAACAGAGATGATTCATTTCAGGGCATCTCAGGCTGATGAAACAACAGCTGAGCTGGAAGAACCTCGGCACCGATGTCCCACTGCACATACATTCGCTAGTTCCTATCGGTCCTGTCAAACGAGCATCAAGTCCGGTGTACTGGAATCTTCAATGGGGGCCACGCAAGTGTCCCGGTGCAACGCCATCTCCGACAAGACGGATTCGAGTGTCCGAGAAGTACGGGGGCAGAAGTCCACCGACCGCAGATCCTCCGATGACACGTCTGTATCGGCTGAACCATCTGTGTTGGAGCTACCAAGCCCAGTAGCCTCAGTTCCGTTGCAAAAGCCTGCTGGCAAGGGACGTCTTCAAAAAAAGAATCTTGAAGCAAGAAAATCTGACGGACAGGCTGTCACCAAGGGTGTTCTAGAAGGAAACAGTAGTATCAAGCAGCAGAAAAACATAAAGAAGCACAAACACAGTCTTATCACCCGAGCAAGACAGGCTCTCTCGCGGCGTCGCCGTCGTATTCAAGCCTGGCTGAAGAACACACGAGAGAGCTGGCATGGTGTGGACGCCAAGGCTGAGCTGCGCAAAATCAAGAAGAAGAGGCAGCCACACGCTCCACTGCTGCGTCCAGTGCGCAGCGTGTTCGGTTTGCGGAACATCTCCAGCGACACTGTGGTCGTTCAATCCATGGAGAAGGAGATTGAAAGACGTGCCAGCGACCCGGTGCTACGGCCCAGATACAGTGTCTTCAGCTTTCGTTCAGGAGTGAGTACGAGGCGTGGGAGGGTTTAACGAGCATCAGGGGCGGTGTCAACTGAGAGTCGATGAGGCAGTCATGATATTCTTTCCAATTCAGAAGACAGTGCCAAGAATACAGAGTTAAGGGAACGTTCAATATTTTCAGTCCTCCACGCACAACGGTGACACACAACGCAAATGCTCAGCCGCAGCCAGCTAACTCTCTTTGTCGTTTAATAGGCTTCATTTCTCACCCGTGTTATTAAAGCATATATCTAAACCTTTCCCTCTCCTCTCTTCGTCTCTTACTCCTCCTCCCGACCAGCCCCTCCTCTTCCTCAGCGCCCACATCATCGATCTCTGAAACCCCTGTCTCCCGCACCCTGCCTTCCTCTCGATCCATTCGTCGATTCAGCACCTGCATGTACACCCTCATGACTCCAACGAGCACCGCCACGCCCAGCATTGCTCCGGCGCACGCCCGCATGCCCTTCTCGTAGAACGGCGCGTCAGCGTCCGGGTACAGGCGCGTGCCGACGAGGGGCCCGCACTGGCCGACAAGCTGCAGCAGGGCAAAGGCGGCGGCGCGGCGGGGCCCGCGCGGCTGGTTGTTGACGGACCAGGCCAGCAGCAGGGCGACGACGGCGTAGAAGCCGGCGGCGGCGGGGAAGAGGGCGGCATACCGGAGCCAGGGGGACAGGCCGAGCGGGCGAGCGAGGGCGAGGACGGCGTAGCCGCCAGCGGAAGCGAGGGCGTGAAGGGCCAGTGGGGCGGAGCGCAATCGCAGGCGGTCGGAGAGGGCGGCTGTCGGCAGCAGGACGAGGAAGGCGACGAGGTAGGGGGGCGCCGCGAGGATGTGGGCCTCGGTGTCTGGGTGGCCCATTTCGGTGAGGATCTTCGGGAGGAAGACGGGGAGCGAGGAGAAGGCCATGTTTGTGAGGAAGAAGATGGCGGCGGGGAGCCAGGCCAGCGGGTCTTTGAGGATGGCGGCGTACTGGGACAGGGTCGAAGAAGTCTGCGGGGACGTTGAGGCGGCGTCGGCGGCCGAGGATGGCGAGGGCGGCGTCTCCTCGTTGCGCAGGCGCAGGCGGGCGACTTTTCGCTGGCGCGGGGTGAGGTAGGTCGCTGTCTGCGGCGAGTCGGGAATCAGACGCCAGGCGATGGGGGCGATGAGCACCGAGGGGAAGCCCTCGAGGAGGAAAAGGAGGCGCCACGGGGCGATGGGCCCGTTCTTTGCGAGAGACACAATGAGAAAGGCGAGAGACGAGGCAAATGCGGTGGCCAGGGGCGCGGCGGACAGGAAGATGGCTGTGCGAAGGGCAAGCTCCTTCCGCTTGAAGAAAAAGGAAAGGTAGTATGGAATGCCAGTGAACGCGGCCTCACCGATGCCGAGGAGGGCGCGCAACGCAATGAGCATGGGGTACGAGACGGCGACGGCCTGAAGGGATGCGATGAGGCCCCAGGAAAAGACGATGGCGGCAATGTAGGCGTGGGCCGGCAGGTGGCGCCAGAGTATGGACATCCACTCAAAGGCAATATAGGTGATGTAAAACGTCGTCAGAGCCCAGGGGTACCATCCGTCCCAGGCGGGCGTCGTCTGGAGGTCGGCGTCCATGCCGGCGATGCGGGCGTTGCCAATGTTGGAGCGGTCGAGGAAGCTCAGCATGTAGAGCAAGGCGACGAAGAGGACGAGTCGGCGATCGAACTTCTTGACCACAGCAGCCTCCTCATCTGGCGTGTACAGCTGGAAGCTGGCGACGGTGCTCGTCATGCTGCTTCTTCGACCAGAGGCCGAGGTGGCAGGCCGTATCCAGCCGTCGCTATCTTCCTCGTCCTCCTCGTCATCATCGCGACGGCCACCGGCCTTGACAGGTTGCAGCTCGTAGGCCTCGCCGAGGGCGGATTCGCGATGGCGCAGGTCGTCATCTTCTGACTCGAGGTCGAGGTCGAGGTCGAGATGGTTATCGAGGTTGAATTCTGCTGTCGTCGGGGCGAATGAGGGCGAGGAATTCCGGGGTTGGAGGTGGCTGCCTCGTGAGGAACTCGCCATGGTCGTGACGCTTATGAACCAGAGAAGAGATACGCATCGACCGGAAGCCAAATCTCGGTATCAGCTTGCCACGTCAACGTCGCCTCAACGATGACAGCATATGCTGCTCGACATTTGGCTGTAGAGCAGCAGTCAGGGGCCGTTGGACGTCGGTCGGGGGGGATGTGGTATCGGCTGAAGTGAAATGGGGGTAGTCGCCGTTGTTCTGGATCACAACGTTCAATTGGTCTCGAAGCTGGCCCATGACGTCTTTAGCGAGGCGATCCCTGTCATAGCTCCCTCGCGCCCCCGTCCCGTCCCCTCCCCTCCCCTCCCCCTAAAGCTCCAGAGTCCAAATCGCCATCGCTCGTCATGGCTTGTTTCCGAAAAGCCTGGGCAAAGGCGCCTGAGCATGAATCGCTAGGGTCCAGAGCGATGAGATCTCCGCTATTAGAGGGGCTGGCTGTACGTGACAGCTAGCCGCCTTGAATGGATCTGTTAGGGGTACCGCACTGACAGTGGACTTCGTCTGAGCTGATGATTTCAATCGACACCAACTCGTCGCCCAAGTCTGTCCCGCAACGTACGATGTGTCGGGAACCAAAACGCGTGACTGTGCTTGATATTATCATCATCATTAAACATGGCGGCCTAGGCCTTCTCCTCTCTACCTTGGCACGCCCAAATAGTGGCAGCGGTCAACACCCTTCGTGTGCCGTGATTATACCCAACGCCATCCCATGACTACTATAGCCGTGATATTATTACCAATAAAAACACCCTGATGCACCCCAGAGCATCAAGACGACCCTTCTTTCATACCAAATAACCTACGCAAGCTCCGACTCTTGTGTGGTGTTTTGATCCCAGCATTTGGGTCCAGCAGTGGTGGAGGTTGAGCTGTCGCCGGCCGTTGCTCTCTCGCCGGCGGAGGCTCTCGCGTCGGTGCTGGCGGCACCCCGACCGACGTTGCCTTTTTGTGGGTTGGCGGCGCTGCGGATGGCGGCGGTGGGAATGGCGAGTATCCTCCCGTGACGCGCTTCGATGCGCTGCCACTTCGATCCCTGCTATACCGTGTCTCCCTGCTGCCGGCCCGTGGCCGTGTCTCACCCTCGCGCGGCCTGTCCATGGATAATTTGTTCGGTCGCTGGCCTTCCCCCCTCGGCGCCTCAAAGAATCGCATCGCCGGCTCCAGCACGGGCTCCTGCTTCATGAGCTCCGCAACGTGTCTCGGCTCCAGCTGCTCCCGCGGCGCCTCCAGCAGCTCCTCGCACACGGCACGCTCTTCGTCACCGCACACGATGACGTACCACCGAATGTCCTCGCCCTTTTGCAGCTGGTCCCGCAGCTTCTCGAGCCAGCCAGCCTTCTTTCCTGAGGTGGCCCCCTTCTTGTGCCCTGCTTTGCCGTTGTTGAAGTCGTCACTGCTCGCCGCCGCCATGGCCCTGCCGCCGCCCGAGTCCCGCCTCATACGTTCCTCGTAGCCGGCTATCTCTTCGACCACCGACACGCTGAGGTCGACCCGGACGACGTGGTCGGCGACAAAGGCGTACGGCCGGCTGACGCTGGTCAGGTCCGTCGGGTCGTACTCCTCCAACAGCTTGACGGCGCTCCACGAATTGAGCAGCACATCGTCCTCCTCCGGCGGCACCGGCGGCGGAGGTTTGGCGAAGGGGTCGGGGGCGTCATTGTGAGCCTGCGAACCGTTGCGGCGTTTCGAGGAGCCAGTGGCAGCAGCGGATTTCTTGCGCTGCTGGCGGTCGTCGCTGGCCGGCCGGGCCTCGGGGAGAAAGTCAAAGTTCGTGTAGAAGGACTCGAGAATGGCATTGGAGGACTCGGGGCCAATGATCCACTCGGGGGCGGCGTCGTCGATGTTCTGGACAACGACGTAGACGCGAATGCTCGGACGATGCCAGCGGAAGCCGTGGCAGAGGTAGGTCGGCATAGTTGGTCAGAGCTGTGCGGCAGCACACTGAGCGATCTTGAGGGGAACACTGCCAAACATGAAAGTACAGGAATCTCTCACAAACCCCCGACACACCAAGATGTGGTCGAGTCTGGATATTCAGAGCGAGGTGGGCTACTCCAGGGTGATGATGGTCAGGTCAGGCGGAATGATGGCTTTGACCATGTTACGATGGGACGCAAACGGCGCGTGCCACTGTGGCCGGTGGAGATAGGACCACGGGCCAGGAACAACAACATGGTCCTCCAGAAGATACCAATAGGCCTACTCGACTGAGTTCGAGTGGCTCCGGGCATGAAAAGGAAAAAAGAAAAAAAAAAAGGAAACAAAGGAATTGAGTGCAAACGAAACCCTGTACAGGTTTCACGTCGCGAACCGATGCGTAGGTAGGTATTCAAGCTCGGGTGGTTCCGAGTGGAGTCACCCGGAGATGACATAAGCGGAATGCTACGAGCTGGCCTCCAAGTGAATGAGTCAGCGAGTTCACAGCACCAACATCGGGCTTCCATCCCCCCTGCCAGTCTGGTTGGCCCTCCTGCCTTGATACTTGGCATAGCCCTGTCGACTTCATATGTCGTCCTGCAGCTCTCAGCTCGTCGTCAATCCCTGCCTAGCATTTGGAATCAGCGTCAAGGAAGCCGAAGCCGCGATTGCAGACACACTCCTTGACGAGGGTGAAAGAGTGCATGAATTTGTTGATCATCGCCCCCCCTTTCCCTCCAGGCCCTGCTCATCCCTTGCAGTGCTGAATGGAGGCCACCACTATGGGGGCGTGATACAGCATCTGTTGTATTTAGAAGCCATCCTTTGGCGACTGCGACGAATCAAGCCAGGCCGAGCTCTCGGCGTTGACAGGGTCAAAGGTGCTCGCGCTCGGGCGACATTCTTCTTCACCACCTTAGACGAGCGTGCGTGACACTCTTCCCTCAAGGCTGAGAGCATGCAGTGATATCATCCTCTGCTGCCACTTGGATCAGCTGCCACTGGACTACGATGGAGAACACCAAAGCCGGGCGACTCGACTGGGTACCACAAATCACCGTGCCTCTGCGGCAGCCCAGCGGCGCAGCGGCGCAGACAAATGAACCTCCAGCGTGCGTCCTCTTCGACGTCATCGGCCGATTCTCACCACATTGGTCCCCCGTGGAGAAGCGGCAAATCGCGCGGCCTAGACCTCCGTAGGATACAGCCCCCAGCAAAAATGCAACCCGAAGGATTGCTATGCCTGTGAAAATAGAAGCCTTGCCACCAGGCCTGTTACACCAAAACGGCTTTGCCTCCTCTGTTCGTCCACTCACATTATCAGCTCTCGGCCCCCAATGCAACACATCCCCGTCCGAGTCTAAATCAAGCTTTCAATTAACATGCAGTGTTCCCGGCTACGTGCCAAAATTGCAAAGGATAGCCGCCGAGCATGGATCGATCTCGTGCTTGTTACTCGTGGTCGCCCGTCGCTCTGCGAAAGCGGGATGGCACCCGTTGTTGTTTAAATCTCTAGGGATCCTGCTGTGGCTTGTTCCTCTGATCCTTTTTGTCGACAAACCCCAAATCGCCAACGTATTCGACCATCGGTGCACATCATGGCCTCTTACCAGAATGCGAACAATGCTCCCGAGGTAGTGCAGCAGAGCATACCCGAGGTGTACTACCCTCAGTCGGATGGATATCCCCAGTCGGCTGTCTATCCTCAGTCAGCCGTCTCGCCTTCGTATCACGCCCATTCACAGGCGCCAGACCCCACGGGCTCGCCTATCAAACCCGAGTCGGCAACGCTTCATCCTGGATACACACCATCACCCGTTAGCGATAACCACTCACAAGTGACGAGTCCGAAAGCGAAAAGGACCTTTTGCGGCTGCACCATCCTCGTCCTCATCTTGTCCATCATTATCGCCGCCTTGTCCGCTGCCGTCATTGGACTTGCCGTAGGGACAGGTGTCCAGACGAACCGTGCCAACGATGCGAAGGAGAAGTTGAACGCGCTCTCTGCAGAAGCAGCTGCCGCAGGGCCGGCAACGACGACTGTGACCGTGTCTGAGGCTGTGCCGACAGAGACGAGCTTCTCAGCCATTACTCATGGCTGCTCGGACGAAAAAGACGAGACGTCAGGAACAGATTATACCACTCACTGTATGCCTCCTGTCCTCAAAGGGAACCTGGCGACAAAATTGCTAACGCTTGTGGGGCAGTCTCTGACAAGGTGACCTTCACCATGTTCTGCAACTCCAATGCGCCGCCTTATGCTCCCCTTTTGGCGCTTGCTGTGCCCGACTTTGACCGATGCATGGACGCTTGTGCTTCGTACACCAAATACATCAAGGGGACTTTCGAGTCCGATTCTGACAGTGTCAACGCGACGTGCACAGCCGTCAGCTTCATTCCCGGGTGGACGTCCAAGGAGGCGGCCGTTGACGCAAACGCCGAAGGCAACTGTTATCTCAAGTCGGGTCGGCAGAGGAGGTCGGCTCTCGAGCCAGTGAAGCCTGGACCAGGCGAAACGCATGCGGCTATTCTATCAGACTCTTGAGCCGCTTGAAAATGGTGATTCAAGGTACAGGGCAGAGCGCACCGACACGCAGCTGCTTCAATAATTTCATGGCCTGGTTGCCGGTACTGGGACATCGAGATTCGCTGGGCACGGCTGGGGGGCCGGGCACCAGAGGTTTGGCGTACTGGCGCGGCTGGAATCCAGGGTCTCGTCTCTTTCACATTTGGTGTTCGTTACGACTTGTTCGGAGCGGTCTTCTCTTCTACTTTTGATTTGCTGGGGGGTTCCGGCTTGGCGATCCCCGTACATATTTTTTGGGGCCGGCAGCGCGGCCTTGGCGGATCTTGTTACCACATGGTTGGTGTAAGACCTGGGAGGATAGTGTCAGCAGAAGAGTCCACCCGAAACATGTACACGTTCCGACTTCGGCTGTCTTGAGCGAATAGCCTCCGAATGAACCGCAAATGGCCGTCTTGAGACGCTCAGCATCGGTGCAAGGTACGAGTTCAGCGCAATTGAGCATCTCCGTCTGCTGTCTGGCAAGAATGAGCAAAGTCGTCGAGGCCAGGCACCTGCGTCCCAAGCAATGACGACGGATGGCGAGTGCACCTGTGAATGATCACACGTCGGCACCCGACTTATTTTGGCGGCAGTGGCTTCACAGGGCAAGTCACTGTCAGCCCGGGTTCCTGTGTTTTTGCCGCATGACAGAGAATGGAGATGGCTTTTCTCTCTCTCGCGACGACAAGAGTCTGGACCATGGGATCTGCGAGCAGGATTTGCAATATCACCAGAGACAGCACGGCAAAGTCATGCTCTCTCCTCCGTAAGCATAATGAGGGGTGGTCACCCGCCTCTGGGACTTCAGTTGAGTGAGCAGAGTGCCTATTGGGACGGGTTTCTCTATACCGTACGCGCCGCTAGTCAGCGATACTGTCCCACACCGACCCTTCGGTCATAGGCGACACACCTGGAAACAGAGGAGCGGCATCAGGGAACAAGCAGAATGAATGATAGACCCATGGCCACACGGGCTGCAGAAGCGGCGGGCCAGGGTTCCCTCGCGCAAGTCAGCCCGCTAAAACCCAGCCACGCCATGCTGCTGGCGTTCTGGAAACGGTGCTGGGTCATCGGCTATCGCCCGCCTTCCGAGTAAACACGGGCTACCGCTGGTGGGGCTACCGATGGTTATGAGCCTTAGCGACGGAACGTTGAACATCATTGTTGTAAGCCTCGAGGGCCATCTCGGCGCCAGAGCAAGACTCGATCGAGAGGCACGTTGACATGAATTTCGTTTACTTCAAGGAGAGACCCAGGCCCATGCGATCCGGTTTCGATGCACGACAACGGGGGAACCCTGAACACTCTTTATCCGCAGAGACTTGGCCACAACGTCCCCTCACGAATGATTGCCATTGACTGACAGAACCCCGACCCCGGGGACTCCGCACAGTTCGCTGACGCACCAGAGATGCACCGTCGCATGGGACGGCGGGAGAAGAGAGGGGCGCCTCTTTCGATTTCGACATGGCCCCATATTTTTTTTGACACGAAGGGCGCGCGCATGTCAATTGCGCTCCATGCGACTTGCAGGTCCGGCAGGCGACCAGACGCACTAGTCCTTTCGCTGCAGCAGCTTTTGGCTGTCCTTGGTCTCTAAGGGAATGGCTCCGAACCACCGGGAAGCGGAGCGAACGCTGGCCGCTTTCTGGTCCGTACCATCTCATCTCATCTGTCTGAGCAGAGCGAACGAGGGGTGTTGCTCGTTTGAATAAAGCAACTGCTTAGGACTGTGTGACTCTTTCCTCACATTTTCGAGTCCCGCACCTTCCCTTTTCTTCTCTCATCACCATCACCATCCTCCTGCTCCTGCTCCTCCTCCCTCGTCCCACGCATGCTTTACGCATCCTCATCGGTCATCGAGGTTGTCAGCATTGACATCTGACGACGCCCTTGACCCAAACCACAACGACATCCCGAACCTGCATGGTCCCTGGCGCACCTCGTCCTTTGGTTTTAGTCACCCTCCGCGGAGGCGCGCCTTTCCTGTCAACCTAGGTAGATTTGACATCCGCCCTTCGAAGTACACGAGGATTACAAGCAGGAGAGTACAAATCGACATGGACGAATTCGTCGACTGGGACAAGGCTGGTGACAACGTCGGCATGCTGCTCGACCACACCGGCCCTTTGCCTCCTTCTCCCCCAGAACACATCCCCACCAACATCGCTGACCAAGACATTGATCTTATGTTGGCCAATGTCGACGACGATGACTTCAGCTTCTGGGCCCTCCAACACTTTTCCGAGGCTGGCCAGGAAGGCCAAGACGCACCTCTAGGGTCGACCTCCGCCGCCTCCGCCCTCCAGATGGACCTCTCCGCGGGTCCCGCCCCCGAGCCTTATCAGCTCCCTAACCCCTTGCCGGACTTCTTCTGGTACACGCCTGCCGTGCCATGCACGTCATGCTCCCGCAGCGGCCTCGAGTGCAAGAGGATCCGCGAGGGTGAGTACAAGGGCTTCTGCACCTCCTGCGTCGCGCTCTGGTGCCCTTGCAGCTTCGCACCGTCCGTGCCAGCGAACAACTGGTCGAACGATCTCTCCGAGGACCCCACGGTCACCAATGACAAAGATATCCCTTCCTCTCAGAGTCTGCTGAAGGCCTCGCTGTCCTCCGCGTCTCTGCAGATGGCGCCTCCTCCCACTGTGCCGCCTGTTCAAGAGAACACGGCCGCCGCCGCTGCGGGTGCTGCTGTACCAAACAAGAACAGTCCTCCCCCTAAGATTGGTGCTCGTTTCTCGCGAGAATCGGTCAAAATCCTGAAGACGTGGCTCTCTGGTCACAACCGTCATCCGTACCCCAGCGACGAAGAGAAGGAGATGCTTCAGCGTCAGACCGGTCTCAACAAAACGCAGATCACAAACTGGCTCGCCAATGCCCGTCGCCGCGGCAAAATCCAACCGCCTAGGTCAACGTCCCCGGCCACGCACACCCTGTATGCCGGAGCTGTCGATATCCCCCGGCGGCCCGGCACACCGGCCTTCGACAAGGGCATCGCCAACAAGAACCCCCTCGAACGTTGGGTCGACTCCCCGCCTGATAACGAACCGGCCTCCGTAACAGCCATTGCCAGGGCCGTGGCGTCCAACTCGGACATGTCTTCGGGTTTGAACAGCCCTCACAGCTTTGCCTTCACTGACGACGGCTCGGGTCGCTCACTGGTCGACTATTCCTCGACAAGCAGTGTGGGCACATCCAGCGGCGGGTCTTTTGCCTCTGCTTACTCGCATGCCTCCCGAGGCTCTTTCGGCTCCTTCAGCTCCATGCAGATCCGCGGTCGTCGACGCCGCAGGAGGCGCGCCGCCCCTCAGCGTGGTCCAGACGACAAGACGAACCTGGCGGCGCAGTTCAAGACTTTCCAGTGTACATTCTGTACCGAGACGTTCCGGACAAAGCACGACTGGCAAAGGCATGAAAAGTCGCTGCACCTGTCTCTCGAGCGATGGGTATGCGCACCCAAGGGACCACGCGCCCTCAATCCGGCAACCAACCAGGTCAGCTGCGTCTACTGTGGCGAGGTCGACCCGGATAATGAGCACATTGAGAGCCACAACCACACGACGTGCCAGGAGCGCTCACTTGAAGAGCGCACCTTTTACCGGAAGGACCACCTCAACCAACACCTGAGACTCGTACACAACGTCAAGTTCATGGACTGGTGCATGAAGACGTGGAAGGTGGCTACGCCGGAGATCAGGTCACGGTGCGGTTTCTGTGGCATCATAATGGATAACTGGTCCATTCGTGTAGACCACCTCGCCGAGCACTTCAAAACGGGTAACACCATGGCTGACTGGAAGGGTGATTGGGGTTTTGAGGCACCCGTCCTCGACATGGTCGAGAACTCGATCCCGCCTTGTATGAGACCCCTTCGATATCCCGTAGACCAGCTTGCAGCGTCTAACTTTTGAAACCTTTTTTTCTTGTGCAACAGATCTTATTGACCATGAACGGAACACGCCATTTCCCTACGTAGCGGGCGGCTCGCCGCCCGAGTCACCAAGGAGTGCCTACGAACTAATCAAGATGGAGCTCGCTTTCTTCATGATGAATCACGAGGACAAGACGGGGGCCCTGCCCAACGACGACGAGATGTTGCTCGAGGCATGCAGAATCATTTTCGCCAGCGAAGTGTTGTCACTACAGGGCATCGACTCGAACTTCTCCTGGCTCAGGGACCTCTTCATGTCGTCCCCAGAGGTTGCACGGCGGGCGCAGTTCGGGCCTCTCCGTTCGGCAATTGAGAACAGGCTCTCAATCCTAAAGATCAACGGCAAGGACAACTTGTTCGAGGCCTGTCCTCTTGAGAAGCAGCTCAGGGACTTTGTCTCGAGCAGGACGTTACTCGGATTAACCCCCATCGACGACGAGCTACAGGTCGAGGCGTGTTGCATCGTCGGACGCATTGAGGAGGCATCAACGACACCGTCAGATTTCATCGCCAACTGGCTTGTTCGGTTCATCAACTCATCGACTGGTTGGCTCGCCAACTTCCGGCAGCGAGCCCACCTACCGCGGACGGAGGACATCAAGAATGCCTACTTCCGATCCACGGACACGACCAAGATCGATTCCACAATCCACATCTACAGCCGCTTAGAGACGTCTCTCAGCGAGTACATGGAGGACCAGCGGGTGTTGGGTATCGAGCCGACCGATGAAGACCTGCAGCGCCGGGCTCGCATCATCATATACGAGTTCGACGACGGCTGGAACCAGACGGCCGCCGACAGCCTCGTCTGGCTCAATGCCTTCCGCGAGCGCCATCCGCCTGGAGGCAGCTTCTCTCAGACGCAGGATTCTCTGATGCCCAATACCAGCGAGCCCGCACAGACTGTGCTCGGCCTACAGCAGCAGCTTGCGTCCTCGCCGCCGCGATCGAAGCACATGGGCGGAGCGACTTGCATGAACGACTCGAATCGATTCCGAAGGCTGGCGCGTGAGCTGAGGCGATTCGTCACACAAACAACGTCGCCGAACAATCCGAACCAGCACGTGCCCTCAGACCAGGAGCTACAGCACCAGGCGCGGTGGATCATGTACGATGAGTGAGTAATACGCCTTCCGCATACCCCGATTTCGACAGTTCGACAAGTGTACTGACCTATTTCCAGCGACGATCCGTGGAACCAGACGCCCGCGGACAACGCCGAGTGGCTTCAGCGCTTCAAGCGTGATGCCGGCCTACTGGCGGCAGCCTCGCCCCTTGACCCGAGCCAAAACGTGGTCCCTAGCCGCACAATGGCCGAGGCCGCGGCATCGAGCTGCCCCTTCAACCCTAAGATTGATTTCTCGACACCCTTCAGCGCGAGCACGACGCTCGCAGGGACCAGCCCGTCATCGACAGGCGAGGGCACTCGCGACCAAGCTGTGGCGGACGCCTTCTTCGCGACCTTTGACACGCGTCACGCGCGGCCTGGTACCATTTTCTGCGCGCGCGAACTAGAGGACTCTCTGGTTGGGTTTGTGCACTCAGAAGCGGCGGCCGGGCGAGAATTTCCAAGTGACGAGGCTCTCAGGGCTAAGGCGCGAGAGGTCATGGGAGCCGTGAGGACGGCGGCAGACGACGAGACGCTGCTGGGCAAGTTCAAGGCTTGGGTCGTCGCTGAGATTGCGGGGGAGGGTGAGCAGCAGAGGCAGGCTTTCACGGACGCTGAGATCGAGGGCATGCTTGGCGAGATGGAGATGGAGTACGGCGGGGAGATCGGAGGGGGAGCTTCTCTGGTGTGAGGTGATGTTGCGTGGTGTTAGAGTGTTCTCAGGAGAAATCGCTTTGGAGTTTGGGTTTTTCCATTTCACTCGATCCTAAAATAGGGGTTGTTCATATGATATCCGACGAGCTTAAGACTGACAATACCACATTATTTGAGTTTAGTTAAAGTTTGCGTTTGTGCTATCATCGGACTTGGTTTTGCGAAAAAGAGTCGGCACTTGGCGCGGCGTAGCATTGGTCTCTGCGTACCGTTCGCGTCTTCCAGACGGGATGAACGACGACGACCGGAGGAAAAGCTAGCCGCTCAACTTGTGACGAGAGTAGCCCTCAGCTGGCGAGAAGGGACTTTGGAGTGGCTGCAGTAAGGAGGAGTCGCAACGCGATGAAGAGCGATGGGCTTGGAATGAATGTTAAGAAGATACCTAAAAGCCAAAGAAAATACCGCCTGCGGGAAGGTCACTCGTTATCCGTTATGTTAAGTCGACATGCTGTGCCACACTCCCGACGCCCCACCCTAAGCTGACAGCACCAGGCACCGGGCGCCGGATCCTCCAACTCGCTGTGGCCCGGGGCGAAGGGCGACGGCCTTTAAATAAGGCGCGGCCTCTTTTCTGATGCCCCAACTCTCAACATGCTTGGCTGTTATACTCGCATGCAAGCATGACCCACGATTCCGAATCACACACCTAACCCTGCTGCCAAAAAAAAAAAGTGCAGCGAAGAACACGGCAGCATTTCCGGGTACCTAAATGGGCCATGGGGTCGACGAGTGTGGATACCATAGCTCAGAGCAGCAACGCGACGTACAACCGTCCCAAGACGCGGCAGAGGGTGCACAAAGCGCCGCCTGTGCTCGACGTGCCCGATATTGACGAGGATGCGGCCGAGAGAAAGAGGGTGCTCAATGTGCTGGCACAGCGGCGATACCGTGAGTTTGCGATGCCGACCCGGCCATGCATGTTTGGGGAGAGGCCTATCCCAAGGGTGACTGACTTGTGACTTACACGAAATTTCAGGCGAACGAAAACGCGAGGCGAGGGCCAAAAGCAAGGATACGAAGCAGCAAGATGACCTTTCGACTCTTGATGACCTTTCGACTGTTGATGGTATCCGGCCACCAGCCTCTTCATCCCATCCAGATGGATCAGTGTCCCCATCGGATGCGTCTCGGACAAGCGTTTCACCCAACGACCTTATGCTGACGTCTGAGCTGGATTTTGGCCTGGACATGCCATGGGACCCGGTATCTCTCGAGCCCACCTCCGTTACAACACTCGAGGAGACATTCCCAGGCGTGCCTTTTGAGGCGATCATGTGGGACTCCCTCTCCACCCCTTCGTCTTCCTCCCCAACCGGCTCCTCGTCGGGCCTCTCCTCCAACTTGGTAGCCAACAGCACCGTCATCGCCTCCATCAGCCGCTCCAATCTCGGCACCCCGGCTGCATCGTCTCCCGGCGAGCCGTTTGCACCGCCAGCTCCCGTGGACGACTTTACCGACCGCTACCTGCTCCCCATAGCCGACCTGACCCTCCTCCGCGCCTTCCTCAGCATAGCGGACCGTCTCGGCTGCGCCTCGGAACTCTGGTCGCCGACGTCCAACTCGCCCTTTAACAAGGGCGGCGGCACGCCAGCGGCCCTGCTGCCGCCCAACTTCCGCCCGACGCCGACCCAGATGCAGCTGCCGCACCACCCGATGCTCGACTTCCTGCCGTGGCCGTCGGTGCGCGACCGCATCATCAGCATCTTCAACATGCCCGAGGCGATGCGGCCGCCCGGCGCGCGCGACGCGCTGGCGCCCATCCAGTTCGCCTACGACCTCGAGGACGAGGCCGAGGGCGTGCGCATCTGGGGTGGCGACCCGTACGACGCGACCGGGTGGGAGGTCGGCCAGACGTTCTTCGAGCGGTGGTGGTTCATCTTTGACAGGGACGTTGTGGCGCAGAGCAACCGACTCAGAGAGATTCGGGGCGCTGCGCGGCTGCACTTGAGGGGGCCGCGGGTCGAGGAGCTGGGAGGGTGATGGAGGTCCAGATAGATGTGCTGCCATGTGTTAATGATAATGATGAATATCCACCCCCCTGATGCAAGAGTATCTACAGGGAGTATTCTTGCAGACCAGCTGCTTTCAGCTGCCAGCCGGCAACGGGACGAACCCCCACGTTAGAAGAACCCTGAAGACCAATCTGGGGGGAAGTGGGCAGGGCGGTGAGTGGCATTCTGCCGACGCGGAGGGGCAGTGACGGAGGGGTAAATGATGCTTGGAAAGCGGGGCAGGCGGGCATCAATGATTGCACTTGCCAGTCAGTGTCACAGCGAGCCAAGGTAGACTTGCTTTGCCTGTGAGGAAACGGTAAACATGACAGGCCCCGCTCTGCTTTTCACGCTGAGAAATGAAAAGAAGCCGATTCCCCGACATCTGAGTCAGAGCAGGGCATGTGTTCGTCACGCAGATCGTGAACTCTAGGGAGCTCGGGCGATGAAGATGAGCCGTCATGTCCAAACACACCGCCTCGTCCTCGAGGGCCACATGCTCGAGTTTCGACCGGGGAACAGAAAAAAAAAAGAAGCACGGGCAAATAAACGACAACCCCTCGGGCAGGCTCCAGACGTGCATCGCAGGAAGGAGAAACTCGCGGGGCAAAGAAGGGACACAGGCGGGCCAGCGGGGCAGACGTGGCTGCACGTTCAACCAATGGTCACGACGCCATATTCGGAGGCGTGGGTGGGCCGGTGTGGGCAGGTACGACCGATGTGGTATTGGCAGCATCCACACCGGCGCCGATACGCCTCTCCACCCCAACGCCTCCCCAGTAGCTGCCTCAAATTCTTACCTCACGTCGACTTGCTTGTGCCTGTGCGTCCTTCTGTCTTGTCTACCCCCCCTTGACACCATTCTGTTTGTTCTAGAGCATCGCGAGAAAGTACATCGCCGGTGCTTCAACGTCTGTTTCGAGCACCATTGGCACTTTCGTCCTTGTAGATTGCCAAGTGAGTCACCACTACCGCTACTGTTGCCCGCTGCCCGCTCTATGATGCCCTTTCACACCCCTCCTTCACCTTGGGCGCCTTTTTTTCGGGCTGCTTCACCACTCATTGCCCCCCCCCTTTTGATATGAAATACCAATTGCCACCTAAACCCAGCTGTCAGTCGTGGCATTTTTGCAGAACCACATTGCTAACTCTCCCCGGCAGCCTTTTGGAACGGCCTTTTGCCGCTTCCACCCCTCCTCCACCTTGTTCCCGATAATACCTCTTCCCAAGAGTACCACCCAACCCCACCGCCACTATGCACATCAAGGAGATGCTCGCCGACGCCGAGCGTGACGGCCAGCCCTCCTTCTCTTTCGAGTACTTCCCTCCCAAGACAGCTCAGGGTGTCCAGAACCTCTACGACCGCATGGACCGCATGTACAACTTTGGCCCCAAGTTCATCGACATCACCTGGGGTGCCGGCGGTAGGATCGCCGAGCTCACCTGCGAGATGGTCACGCAGGCGCAGAGCGTCTACGGTCTCGAGACATGCATGCACCTGACCTGCACCGACATGGGCCTCGAGAAGGTCAACGACGCCCTCCGCAAGGCGTACAAGGCCGGCTGCACAAACATCCTCGCTCTCCGCGGCGACCCTCCGCGTGAAAAGGAGAAGTGGGTCGCCGCCGACGGCGGCTTCGAATATGCTCGTGACCTCGTCAAGCACATTCGTGCCACATACCACGATCACTTCGACATTGGTGTTGCTGGCTACCCCGAGGGCTGCGATGACAACAAGGACGAGGAGTCCCTGCTCGACCACCTCAAGGAGAAGGTTGACATGGGTGCCACTTTTATTGTGACCCAGATGTTCTACGACGCCGACAACTTTGTCCGCTGGGTCGGTAAGGTCCGTGAGCGTGGTATCACCATCCCCATTGTCCCTGGCATCATGCCCATTGCCACCTACGCCAGTTTCATGCGCCGTGCCAAGCACATGAACTGCAGCGTCCCCCAGGAATTCATGGACGCTCTCGAGCCCGTCAAGAACGACGACAACGCTGTTCGTGAGGTCGGCAAGGTCCTCGTCGCCGGCATGTGCCGCAAGATTCTCGCTGCCGGTATTCACCATTTGCACTTTTACACCATGAACCTCGCCCAGGCCACCCGCATGGTCCTCGAGGAGCTCAACTGGATGCCCACTTCGGAGCGCCCCCTCAAGCAAGCCCTGCCCTGGAAGCAATCCCTCGGCCTCGGCAGGCGAGAGGAGGACGTGCGCCCCATCTTCTGGAAGGGACGCAACAAGTCGTACATTCTCCGCACGCAGGACTGGGACGAGTTCCCCAACGGTCGATGGGGTGACTCGCGCTCGCCCGCTTTTGGTGAGCTGGACGCTTACGGTATCGGTCTGACCGGCACGAACGAGCAGAACATCAAGAAGTGGGGAGAGCCACAGACCGTCCAGGACATTGCGACCCTGTTTGTTCGCTACCTCCAAAACGAGATTGACTGTCTCCCCTGGAGCGAGTCGCCTCTGACAAACGAGGCAGACCCCATTCGCGAGGATCTCATCGCCCTCAACAAGAGGGGTATCATCACCATCAACTCTCAGCCTGCTGTGAACGGCGTCAAGTCTTCCCACGCCGTGCACGGCTGGGGTCCCAAGAACGGTTATGTCTACCAAAAGTCGTACCTCGAGATGCTGGTTCATCCCGACCTCTACCCCGAGATCATTTCTCGTATTGAAAAGCACCCTGACATGACCTATTACGCTGTCACCAAGAGCGGAAACCTCAAGTACAACGCGCCCTCGGACGGGCCTAATGCTGTGACCTGGGGTGTTTTCCCCGGAAAGGAGATTGTGCAGCCAACCATTGTCGAAGGCATCAGCTTTGTGGCTTGGAAGGACGAGGCCTTCCGCCTCGGTCTTGACTGGGCGCACTGCTTTGAGCAGTCGTCCCCCAGCCGTGTGCTTGTCGAGCGTATCATGAATGAGTGGTACCTCGTTAACGTCGGCAAGTGCAGCCCTATTGTGCCGCCTGAAGCGTGCAATGTTTCGCTAACAAGTCACAGTGAATAACGATTTCCACCAGCAGCGCGAGATTTTCGATCTCTTCGAGGGTCTCTCCGTCAAGGAGTACGACGACATCAAGCCGGTGGCCCAGGACGTCGCTCCCGACGTCGTTTCGGCCCCCACCAACGGCACCACCAACGGCATCGCAGTTCCTGCGGCCTAATTTATTTGACACTCACGATTTGACCCTTTTATGATGCATCTTACGAGGCGTTTCAAACCCAGGATAGGGAAACATGACAAGAGGTGCCAGCATGCTTTTTTCAACAAAAAAGGAGGAGACAGCCAAGGCTGTATTCGAGTCACGTCAAATTGGGACTCACAAGGTACAGCCAGGAGGTCCTGGCAGGAAACAAAACCGAGGGAGATTGACGGAATCTCTCTTTTATGACGGGCGGAAGGGCGGAAGCATGCATATCATATCTCAACGATACCCCCAAGAACCAATTCGAGTTCAACCTTAAAACTGAAGGCCGCAGGATAGCGGCTTGGAGCATGGAGTTCTTTTCAACATGGGGGCATTTTTCTTCTGGTTTCCTGGAGGATGGAGGGCGGGGGATGGAGCGGCGGCGGAGATGCTGTTGGATAGTCTCTAGTGGGCAGGAAATACTACCCTTGACTACCAATCATTTCGTTGATGACAAGTGACGGATTGTCTGCTCACCCATACAGGTAGAAGACCATGCAAAGCAGTCGGCCCCCTCCCCCCGGACAACACTTCAAATCTTGTCCACGGCAGTCGGCTATTTCAAGTGCGGAGGAGAGGTGATAGGAGACTCCCACAGCCACATTATGGAACAAAATGGTATCGCCTTCAAAGTCATGTCAAATCCAGCGCACCATGCACTTTGCTGAGCCAAACTCGGTCAACTTTCATCGTCATGCAAGTCATGAAAGAGTGTCAATACAAGTCTATCATGCTGGTTCCAGACGAAACCTAGGCCGCGGGGCCAATGATAGCCAACTGCAGTCTGTCTGCCTGTCCACCCCGCCCACCAAGCACAGCGATCCAGCTGTGCGAATCCGTGCCCTTTCCGTCCGGGGTTCGATGGACGTCTCGCGTCCGGGGTATAATGAACCCAATGCTAGCTAGTAGTACAAAACGAGGCCGCTCGTTGCCTCGTGCAAATTCTTTTGGTGGTCGTCATGCGAAAAAGAAACTAGAAAAAAACTCCTCACTCTCTACCGGCGAAAGCATGCAACGAGCTCAGTCCACCCACTCGCCGTCTTCGTATAGCTCGTAATCCATGTCCACTTCCGTCCTGGGCTCGCGCTTCACGTCCGACTGCGCCTCGGCCGACGCGCGTCTCTCGACGGCAACTTCGGGCTCGTTCTTCTCGACCGGGCCGCGAGCCGGGGCCGATGAAGCGGTAGAAACGACGGCCGCGGCCGGCCCGTTCTCGACCCAGGCAACCTCGACGGAGCCCACGTTGGGAATGGGAGCCAGTTTGGCGGCGTGGAGGAACCGCTCGGCCGTCTTGCGCGACTTGAATGTGATTTGCGCCGTCATAGGCGTGATCTGAATATCATTAAATTCACCGATCCCCTGAGACCATGTTAGTGTTGGGCACGCAACAGCAAATGAAACGAGAGAGGGGCAAACGTACGAAAAGGTGCTGTCGTAGCGCCTCGTCCTTTTCGGAATCCGAGAAATCAACACCCGAGACCTCAATCACACGGGTGCGGTTGTCGAGTGTGTACTGCTCAAATGCCGCATACACGGCAGCCCTATCGACGCCGTGGCCACCACGACCGCGATGGGCACCACGGCCACGGCCGCGGCCGCGACCGCGGTACCCGCCGCGGAATCCGCCATAGGTGCCGATGTCGTCCGCGTCCGGGTCAAGACCGAGGTACTTGGCCTCCTCTTCGAGGGCGGCGAGCTGGGCCCTGAGCACCTCGTTATTACTGGAGCCGTCAACGCCATCCTCGCCGCCAGACGCCTGGCCGAGCTTCTCCTGCAGTTTCCGGCGGATCTCACGCTGGCGCTCAAAGAGGTCCCTCTGCCTTTCCGTCAGGTCCTGGCGCTGCTTTTCCAGCTCCTGTTGGCGCTGGCGCTTCTCCTCGTACACCTTCTGGGCCTCGTCCTGCTTCTTGATGAAGGCGTCGAGGTCGAATTCCGGTTCCTCGGGAGCGTTGTCAATGCCAGAAGCCTTCGACGCGCCGTTGCCCTGCTCGGCCGCATCCTCGTCGTACCAAAAGACCTTGACAAAGCGATTGTCAAAGAAGGCCTTGGTCGATCGGTAGGCAGCGTTCGCCGCGTGCCAAGTGTCATACTTGACAATGGCGAGCCGATGGTAGAGCTGTAGCGTGATGTCGACGATGGTGCCAAAATCGGAGAAAGCGTCCCGCACAGCATCCTCGTTGAGGTGCTGGTCGGGGATGCTCTCCACGACAATGGTGCTCTTCGTCTTGTCAGTCACGTTTCCTACGGCGGAGAAGGGTGCCCGGTCAGAGGCCTTGCGGCCTCCACCGCGCTTCGCGACGCGACCCCTTCCGTGACTGATTTTGTCCTTGCTTGCCGTCACCATATCCCACAGCTGCTGCATTTGCTGCATGTTCTGGGCGAGCATGGCGGCGGCGAGATCGTTCGGTGAAGGTTCTGTGCAGACTGTCAGCATCTGGTGTGATGGAAAGAATGCAGCGCCGTGTGTGGATTCAAGAGACGTAAATTCAGAAGTCAACCTTATAATAATGGGGGTTTTCATCGCACGAATGCTCCCACATTGAAAAAAAATGGGTGTCATCAGGTTACGGAGAGAGAGAGGAAGAAGAAAATTCAATGTCCGGGAACAACGTACCATAGTGACCTAGAGGATAGCTTATCGGTCCAGAAGGGATGTAGCCAGACCTGACAGGCTGCGGGAACTGCGCAGGCATCTGAGGAGCAGTACCGTACGCCGGCGCCGCGCCGTTCTGATCGGGGTAAACGATAGGTAGAGGCCACGACGGCCTAGGCGGCAGACCTCCGCTCCGTCGAGGCTGCTTGATATGTCGCCCATTGCTGGGGCCGCGAGGTGGCGCGACCGGAAAGTCGGGTTCTTCAGCATCGCTAAAAGAACGTTTCCTGTTTGACTCTCGTGCGCTCGCATGGGCGTGTGACCCATTCTGGGGGAGGCTGGGGCCAGTCGGGGGCTGAGAGCTGGTCGGCAACGCTGAATGGGCTGGTCCTTTCGGAGCAGGACGTGAGCCCGTCCAGTCCTTCGTCTCAATCACCCGGAAGAGGTCGTTGATGAAGCGAGGTGTGGCGCCTAAGCAACGCAAGTCAGCGATCGATCAGAGAGCCAAGCCAGCAGAGTGCATCGTACCATCGTTGAGGAATTGAGGGAGCTCTTGCTCACACAACGCTCGAAGCTCTTCTTCGTCGTCTTCGTAGCCGGATGCAAGCAGCGCAAGAAGATAATCGGCAAAGATTTCCGTCTCAGAGTCGGACCTGCCAGGAAAAGGCGATTGCATTAGCGAACGCACCACAAGTGGAGCGGGACAAGCCAGGGCCCGAAGGGCTAGGGCAAAATATGGCTAAGGAAAAGGGGGGAAAAAACATACACCTCAGGCAGCTTCTTCATAATCCATGCCCGCAGGCCGACCTTGTCGTCGTCAGAGAGCAGCATGTTTGTCGGGGCTCGGCGGCGCTGTCACGCGCGGTGAGTAGAAAGCACGAGGTCGGAGAGCTATAACGCCATGCGCAAACTGATGAGATATATGCAATGGATGTGTACGAAAAGAGTAAGGTCATGCCGCGATGGTGGTCAGAAGTATTATTCGTCAGCGATGGGCGTGTCGAGAGTGGAAGTGGAGGTGGAATCCGAAATTTTAGGTACCAGGCTCGGGATCAGGAGCTTGCGAGCAAGGGCAGGTCGAGCACAGACCACGTACCAACCTCAACCTACTTTGGTCCCTCAGCAGCCACCACCCTCGCCAAACGACGTCGCCAGGTTGGGAGAGAAGTAACAAAGCCTCAGCCGGAGCCAAGCCAGAGTGGCGGGCAGAGGATAACAGTGCACATTTTCACCAGAACGGCATCGAGTTGTCATTTAGAACAGTCATCAATTCCTTAGCAAAAAAACTACTAGCCGTGTCATGGCAATCAAACGCATGAGATGGGCTTCATGGCTGACTGCCTCAGTAAAGCCTCCCCATTTTGATAGCTCCTTCGCCATTCCCGCACAATCGGCTTCTCTTTCGTGGCCGGTGGGACGGGATGGCCCACGAAGTCTGACGACAACTGGACGTCACGAGGGACGTGTCGGCGCCAGGCTTCGATAGCCCTTGAATGAGGCGTTTACAACTTGTCGTAGTACTGTCACGGCATGTCAGCAGCTGTTTCTGTTTCAAACGAGAGTCGGGATCGAGCAAAAAATAACTTACGTTCTCAACGCCGGGCACCTCAACCTTGATACCCTTGCGCTTACGCATCGTCTGGACAATGCCACCGGTCTTGGAGGTGGGGTCAAGGGGAGAGCCACCGGGCAGGATCTGCCAGTGGTCGAAGACCATCTGGGGGAAGGCCTGGCCGGAGGTGGCCTGGCGCAGATCGGCGTTGAAGCCGAAGGACTCCATGACGGGCAGGTAGGCCTTGATGGTGAAGAGGGGAGTGCCGGGGCGCTGCTCCTCGCCGAAGACGTGGCCACGACGACGGGTAAGGACACCGTAGACACCACCCATGGCCTGCTCGGGAACCTGAATCTCGACGAGGAAGACGGGCTCGAGGAGACCGGGCTCGGCGAGAAGCGAAGCGGCGTACAGGACACGACGGGTGGTGGGCATGATCTGACCGGTACCACGGTGAATGGAATCGGCGTGGAGGGTGACGTCCATGATGTTGAAGCGGATGGCGCGCATGGGCTCCTCGGCAACGGGACCCTCGCGGGTGGCCCACTGGAAACCAGAGACCATGGAGTCCTTGATTTCGTTGAGGTACTGGACGGCCTTGGTCTGGTCAACCAGCAGGTTGGCGCCGACCGTGTCGGGACCGAAGGTCCAGATCTTACGGGCGTCGGTGACATCCCAGCCGAAGTCGTCGGCGAGGATGCGAGCGCGGGCCTTGAAATCGTCACGGGGGCTGACCTTGCCACCCTCGATCTCCTTGCAGAGCTCCTCGTCAATGGGCTCAGCCTCCATGTAGATACGGTTGTGCTTGTTGGGGGACTTGGACAGGGCGGTCATGGAAGACTTGGCGCCGACGGTCTCACGGAAAGCGACGACGGGGTCGGAGATGATGAGAGGAACACCAGCGTGGTCGTTCTCGAGATCGTTCAGGCAAATCTCGAGGTGGAGCTCACCGGCACCGGCAACGACGTGCTCACCGGACTCGGAGGTCGAGGTCAGGACGCAAGGGTCAGACTTGGACAGACGCTTGAGACCCTCGACGAGCTTGGGGAGATCCTGGGCGTTCTTGCACTGGACGGAGCGCTGGACGACGGGGGAGACGGAGAACTTCATGACCTTGAGGTTGTGGGCAGTGTCCAGGGTGGTGAGGGTACCAGACTTGAGGAGGAACTGGTCGATACCGACGAGACCGACAATGTTGCCGGCGGGCATGTCGTCGATGGGCTCGACCTTGCCGCCCATCATGAGGACGGTACGCTGGATGGCCTTGACGAAGAGATCCTCCTTGCGGCCGGGAACGTAGTTGGGGCCCTGGATGCGGACCTTGATGCCGGACTTGACGGTACCGGAGAAGACACGACCGAAGGCGTAGAAACGACCCTTGTCGGAGGTGGGCACCATCTTGGAGACGTACAGCATGAGGGGACCCTTGGGGTCACAGTCACGGATACCAATGGCGGCGGCATCGTCGACGGGACCCTCGTACAGGGTCTCGGCACGGTACTTCTGGGCCGTGACGGGCGAGGGGAGGTGGAGAATCATCATCTCGAGGAGGGCGTCGGCGGCGGGGAGGAAAGTGCGCATGACGGCCTTGAGGAGCTGCTTGCCCTCCTTCTCGCGGTCATCAGCCGAGAGCTTGAGGTTAAGCTTCTCGAGGAGGGTGGCGGTCTCCTCCTTCTTGAAGTTCATGACGGCGGCGAAGATCTTGAAGATGGGGTCGAGGATGAACTGGTTGAAGGCACGCTCGAGCTGCTTGCCCTCGTAGGTGCCGTTCTTGGTCCACTTCTTGGTGGCGGGGTTGAAGAAGTTGTCGCCCCAGAGACGCTCCATCATCTTGTTGCGGTCGACACCGAACTTCTTGGCGTAGCGAGAAGCGAACTGGCGGATGGTGAAGGCCCAGCCGTGGAGACCGGAGCCGAAGGCGACGGTACCGCGGTCGGGGTAGACCTGGACGTCACCGAGAGACTTGTCAAAGTAGGTGGAGATGATGACGTTGACGGACTCGATGGTACGGGAGAAGGACTGGTACAGATCCTCCTTGGAGACCTGAAGCTCGAGGAGAGCACGGTCGACCTTGTTGATGATGACAACAGGCTTGATGCGCTCACCAAGGGCCTGACGCAGGACAGTCTCGGTCTGGACGCAGACACCCTCGACGGTGTCGACGACGACGAGAGCACCGTCAGTGACACGGAGAGCGGCGGTGACCTCGGAGGAGAAATCAACGTGACCGGGCGAGTCGATCAGGTTGATCAGGAAGTCGGTGCCGTCGGTCTTCTGGCCAACGATATCCTTGATGTCCTCAGGGTCGGGGAGCTGACCGAACAGGGAGATGGCGGTAGACTTGATGGTGATACCACGCTCCTGCTCGTCGGCTCTCGTGTCCGTCGCTCGCTGGTCACCGGCCTTGGCGGTGGAAATGATACCGGCCTTGGACAGGAGGGAGTCGGTGAGGGTCGACTTGCCGTGGTCGACGTGAGCAATGACGGACATGTTACGGACATTGCAAGGCTTGTCCATAAGCTGCCGGATCTCCTCAGTGGTGAAGCTGTAGAAATGGTGGTGGTCAGCATACTGAAGCTTTGTGACAAATAGAGGACAGCATCAAGCTCGCGGAGAACGGGCCGGGAGGGAAAAAAGCAATCGAAGGCAAGAAGAACGAGGAGAAGATGGAGATCATGCTAGTGAAGGCGCAACACGAGTCGACAGGAAGGCCGGGTGGTGGAACTCGAGCAGCTTGCGGCCAGCGACAAGATCTACATCGTCCAGGTGACCTGAACGACCAAAAGCGAGACAGAGGTTCGGGTGGCCATGTTGTCGATTGGCGATGGACTTCGAAACTCGATGTTCCCCGGCAAAGAAGACGACAAGAAGACAGGAATGATGGGGAAAGACGCTTACTTGACCATCTTGGCGGTAGTTCTGGGGGTGAACTTCCTGGTTGGAAAATTTGTCGATGTGTTGTTGTTGGAAGCGGGGTCAAAAGACTCTGCCCCGCGCGCGGAAGATGCTTAGATGCGCTTTCAAGCGAAAGGGCAATCTAAAGCTGTAGATAGTCGGGGGTTGCAACAAGCCAAAAATGACAATGGAGATGTTCCACCGTCACTCTTTTATCGTTGCTTTGGGGAGGTTTTGATCGGAGGACGAGGGGGGGGGAGGAGAGAGAGAGAGGGAGAGATCAGGTGGTGGAGCGGAGGGGAGGGAAAAAAAGAAGGTTGACGAGAGGTGTGGGCGAGGAGTCGCCCGCTGTGACAAATGCCTCCTACAGTGGGGCCCAGAGCCCGAGGCGACCCCGCCGTCGCCACGCCACTTCCTGTTTTTCGTTTCCCTCCCCCTCCCTCCCCCTCCAGCCCCTCCAGCCCCTCCTTGGTGCTTGGTGTGCTGCGACAACTCGTCGCGCCCGTAAGGAGCTCCCCCTCCTTTCCGGCACCAGCTGGCAGGAGAAGAAAAAAAACCCACTCTCGACTTTTGGGTGTCTGGGTGTGCACGCTGCTGAGGGCACAGAAACCCTGGGCCGTCTTTGCCGGACGTCCGCCCTTTGTCGTCCATGGTCGCAGATGCTCGCAGATGCTCGCACTGCAGATTTTGTTCGTCATCGGTTGCTTTACCAGCTGGCAGGCTGCTACGCCAACCCATGTACGTACTCTTTGCCCCTCCTATCTCTGCCCACCACCTCGGAAGGTACCTCACCAACTAGGTACCTTCAATACCTTACCTACCTGCCTCCGTTTGGCCCTAGGTATGCTCAGCTCCAGCTTCATGGTCCGGGAACTCTTCAACACGCCCGGAAGCAGCCTGCTCCAAAGAAAAAAAAAAAAGAAAAAGAAAGCAAGCGCCGGCCGTTTGAGTCAAACCTGCAAGAGCATGTCCATCACTGTTCGTCCAGCATCATGCACGCCGCCAATGACATGGGGCTGAGCCTGGGGACGGACAGACATCTACCGAACGGGAGCTGCACAGAGCTGCACAGAGCTGCACATAGCTACACAGAGCTACACCGAACAATCAGGCCGATTACTCCAAGCCCACACGACAAAGCTGTCTGACGTTATTAAGGATAGTGAAAGCGCTAAAACCCGAGTCATCATCTACGTGCCGAGGTGGCAACGCACCAGGCTGTCGTGGTCAACCTCGTCTGCTCAGTTGTATGTACAGCCTCAGGCTCGGTGGATGACTCGACGCCGATGCCCGTGTCATGCTGCCTATGCACATGCGTCCGTCGTCTCCCGCCTGCTGTAATCAGCCATCCTTCATGATGACCCCATAATCCTGCCGTATGCATCCTCCACCTCGCCCGCCAGCTCCAACAGCGAAACAATGACGATCTGATGTGTCAGGTTCGGCATGCGATCCCTGTGCAGCCCAATCCACTCCAGCGGCGGCGTCGCCTCGCCCATGTCCCGGAGCTGCGGCGTCTCGATGATGGCCGGCTCCAGCGCCACGTAGTCGTACTTGGACTGCGGCACGTTGACCTCGGCCGTGATCTTCTGCTGTTGCTGCTGCTGCTGCGCCGACAGCGACGATCGCGGAGACCCGCCCATCGCCTGTCCGCCGTCCTCCGAGTCCGCTGCCTCCGGCACGCCCGTCACCTTGATCGCCGCCAGTGGCAGCGGCAGCTCCTTGCCCCACGTCTGCTCCAGCGACTTTGCATGTTTTGCCCACATGCCCCTGATGTAGCTGATGCGCGAGTAGTTCCAACCCACCTCCACCTTGCCCCCAAACGCACTCTTGAACGTGTATTCGATACGGTTCCCGTCTGGCCGCTGCCACGTCTGCATAATGGCCTCCAGCTTGGGCACCTTCAGAATGGTTCCGCCGCGCGATCCAGTGGCCCGGGCAACCACGTCCTCTACCGTAATCTCACTCAACGTCTTCGGCGCTTCACTGTTGCGCACCCCAGCGAGTCCTATCCGGAGCTGGCCCAACGTCAGGTCGAGGATGCTGTGGATCCTTCTCTGCTCCATGCTCGCCGCGAATCTTGCGTGTGCGTCAAGTGCCTCGATCTTGAAGACCTGATGATCCGAGAACGTATTCGGGAAGATGCCTAGGTTCAGCGCCTTCAATGTCACGACCACGTCCGTGTCCAAGGAGATGGGCGACTTTGCCAGAGTGTCGTCGACTGGCAATTTGGGCGGCGCCGAGGTCTGAGGAGATGATATCGTCGTGCTGCTATTGCCGCGAGACCGGCGCCTCATGAACTTTTCAATCTCCTTCAGAGATGTCTCAAAATTGGCCCGCCGCTCCTGGATCAGCTTTTGTACAGCTTGGTAGAGCGACAGCCCCTGCGCCGCCGAGTTGGTCGTGCCAAAGATCTGCACCGCATCGCCATCGAAGATGGCCACGAGTCGGTCGCCGCTCCCTTCAAGACTGCGACGCACATTGTACATCAAAAACTCAAGTGAAGTAATGTCCGCAACCAGGAACGCCTGGTAGTCAAAGGCAGCCTTGACACGGAATTGACTGAAGCCGATGGAAGCCTGGATCATGGGGGTCTCATTGAGCGCTGCCTCACGCTCAGGCCACTGGATCGAAGTGCGGAGCTTGAAGTTCTGCAGTTCAACGAAGCCGCTGAGCCTGCCAGTGCAGTCGATTCCTACCTTGTCGATCCCGAGACAGAGGTTTTGCTCCCAGTCTGACGTCTTCTTCGAGGACACCCAGAAGTTGTTGATCTTGAAGGCAGACTTTCCTATTGCCTGACCAAGGTCGACACTGACGTCCAGTGACGTGATGGATATCGTGGCCGTCCATGGGAAGGCGGCTGTTGCGGCTACCTGCTGGTAGCGCTGGACAAGGTGTCCCTGAGATGTCTCGGTAGTCAGCTTGGCCACTGGCGCAGCGGATCCCTGGCGGAGCTCCTTGGGGTACCAGATCTCGCGGAAGAGTAAAAAGTCCTGAAGCTGCTTGGCGTTGATCGACATGTTCATCGGGCTAACCTTGAGAATGGCGGAAACTCCGCTCGTGCCGCTGACATGCTTGCTGTTCATAAAGGAGAGCACGATGGACTCAACCTCAAAGCTAGCTGTCGACTCTCTGGAATAAACATGTTGGACGGACACTGTCAGGTTGGTGAAGGCGCCGGATATGGCGAAAAAGTTGCCTTGCTCCACAGATCGTACTGTATTTGCGGTGAAGTAGATGTCATCGAAGCAAGCGGTGGCGGCCACGCGGGCGATAGGCTGACAACTGAGTGAAAATTCTTGACGACAGATGCGAAGGCCAAGATTCAACTTCAGACGACCCAGAACAGCATTGGGGTCGGCTGTCAGAATGTTATCCTCGTTGCTGACCTCTGCTTTCAGCTGGGGTAGTGACGTCTGCGCGCTTGGACTCGTGTCGTCCCCGACAACTTCTTTCACACTCGACATAATCTCCATGATGAGGGGCACGACGGAAGGGTACAGGGTGTTGCTCGACGCATCGACCTTGATCTCTCCGTAGAGTGCGGGATCTTCTTGGTCGTTGTCTCTGTATTCGATTTTGCAAGCCACGCCAGGGCTTCGAAGAACAGTACTGCTTCCCGATTCGTCAGGGTTGAATTGTCCGTATTTTCCGCCCGCCGCAGACTGGCGTAGGATTCTTGAGGTTCGGTTCCCCCCCGTTGCCTTCTTGCCCGAAACGTGGACGACGGCACCGGCAAAGTCAGCATCGACGAGCAGAGATTCGAATCCTTTTTTGCCAAGAATGCCAGCCGGCCGCAGTGTGGGGGTTTCGATTCGCGGGGCTCCTCGCTTTTCCCCGTCGGGCTTGGTATGAGTTGTGCTCATGATCCAGTCCTCAGATGCCTTTTGCACGTTGCTGATGGACAAGGTTATCGAATCTTTCAAGTTGGCCACCGGAATGATGAAACCAGATGTGAGGCGCAAATCAAGGGACTTGCCAACCGCTTGACATGCCAGACGCCTCGCAGTAGGAGTGGAAACATAGGCAATGTTGAAGACTACTTCAGGAAGAAGTGCAGAGTGTCGAGAGCGCATCCGTGGGTCCTGGCCAGGCGGGACCATCTGAAGTTGAAAGTCTTCGATAGTGAGGCGTGCCGAGTTGGCTTGGCGCGTGCCAAAACTGATGAGCTTGATTGAAAGAATAAGATCCTCTTTATCGAGGGAAGGCATCTCTACGGCGTCGCCGACGAACCAGCTGATTTGGGTGTCCTGAATCTCGAACTGGTAGACCAGCGATGACAGGAAAGAGTCGATCAGGTCAGGGGGCTCAGCCTGTTCCTCGTCGTTGAGAGCAATGCGCGGTTTAGGCTGTCGAATCTTGCGTAGGTACTCGAGTTCGCGTGAGGTGTCCAGGTCTTTGATCTTGCCGCCCATGTAACCAAGAATCTCCATTACTGTCGAGATTGTCTCTGGTGACAGTTGAATGTCCAGTCCATCGCTTTTGAAGTTGAATGATCTTTCCTCCTCGCCGGCATCAGTATGACGTGTGCTTGCCGATATGAGAGCCCCAAATGTGATGCTACCGCAGGATCTCATTGCGCCCTCGCTACCCTTTTGGATGTCAAACATGATTGACCGTAGATTGACGTGGAGTTCCGGTTGCGCAAGAATCGGACGGTGTGCATCATGTCTGTTGGCCACTTCCAAGTGCATTCTGTCAAGACTGAAGCATAGGTATGCTAGATCATGTTCTCCTGACTTGAGAGGCGTATTGCCGAAGATTTCGAGACCCGCCAAGGTTGCATGAACCGTGTAGACCAGTTTTTGCTTTTGAGTTGGAGGTGATGAGACTTGGGGTTCTTTCACAAGCTTTTCTCGCCCGAAAATATCCGTCGCGTGCTCCTGTATGGACTTGATTTGCTCTTGCGCCTCATTCAGGGTATTGGATATTTGAGGACGGTTGAGGGCACCGAGAAGGCTATAGACGGCAGATGCATCGAGCTGTATCAGCTCAACGGAGGCGAACACGGTCACAGAATGCTCGGTTGGACCCATGCGACTCTTGATTCGGCCGTTTGTTGGCGGAATACGAAGAAGAGAGATGCTTCGCGGCTGATTGTTGACATTGACTCGGAAGTCGTGTTGATTTTCCTTGATGTCAAAGTCAAAAATGAGCTCCTTACCGAAATTCGCCGCTACAGCAGCCCGAGAGACGACTCCTGACAAATTATACGTGAGGGACTGGAGTAGTGGCACGCTGATGTCATACTCATCAAGGAACATTGCCACATTGACTCTGAAGGATGACATCCTTTCCGCAATGCTGTGGTCATCGCTGTGTGTCGGCGGGCTAGATGGAAGCTGCTCTTTCAACTGGTAAAGCTGGGCAAGCTCATCTTTGACCAAAACATCGACGACTTCGAGGAGCACTATTGGGTCTTGCCGCACCACAAGGGTGAGGGACTGGCTGCTTGCTGTTGACTTAATTGTGTGACAGGACACGACGTCAAGCTCTTGCAATTCGTGGGAGATGAAGACACTCGGGTTGCGTAGCTGGAACATGCCCAGCAGTTGGGAGCGGTGGTGGAGCCTGGAGGTGACAGCGTCACAGCTCAGTATGAAATTCAGCGAGGTGCTTTCATCTTCGAGCGAATGGGTGAGCAAAGACGCCTTGAGATTGTTTCCCAAGATTTTTGCACTCAGGTTGATCGTATCAACTTCGACTGACCCCCTCGAGAGAGCCATGACAACATGCATCGGTGGACGAGCCTGCACGTCACTCGTGCGGTCCGGTGCTGCTTCCGTGGAAGTTTGACTTGCAGGACTGTCTCGCCGCCTAGATCCGTTGTACAGCCGGAGTAAAACATCCGCGAGCTCGCATAGTTCCCAGTTGAGGTTGATTGCCGCATCGTTGCAGTTGATATTGAGGACAGGCATGTCTTCGGGTTCAGTCGTCTTGCGGGCTGTGTCTTTTGGCTTCTTCTCAAGTCTCGCAGTCAGATCTGATAGGAACAGCCTGTTTTGTTTCGGACCAGGATCTAGAATCAATTGGACTTCTCTGAGCCGGAAAGCAACCAGCAAGGGAATCATTGGCTGTGGAGTGTTTCCATGGTCAGGAGCTCCTCCGAAAACGCTGGCGATGAGCTGAGAGCCAGAAATATTGTCCAAATCCCACCCACGCCAGCGTTGAAAAGAGCTAATCACCTGCTCCCTCGCATGCGGCGGTACAGTGATGGTACTGCTTAAAGAGTTATAAAGCAGACGGTCCCGGACTGTGGCAGGGAGCCAGACGTATATCTGACGCAGTCGAACGGCTAACTTCCACGCATCAGCAGTCCGTAGATGGCCAGCCGCGGACCGCAAAACAGCTGATGGGCGGACAAGGAACGTCGGATCAGGCGCTGTCTGCCCCTCCGTCACTAATGTGTGTATCAAGAGCTTCATCCGCCGTTCATGGTGAGCTACCGTTTCGCTCAGTAATGCACCCAATTCGGAAGCCACTAAACCGGTCCGGTGGACAAGCGACGCGAGGTAGTCGACTTTTCCAGACGCTGTACTGCTTCTGATAGCATCAATTTCTCCGTCGATGTACGTGACATCTTTGGACCCGACGGAGAGCACCACGCGATCAACTTCTGCCATGACCGCGGCTTGATTCTCGGCAAGTCCAGGCGAGCGCTCCGCAACTGAAGCTTCGGCAGAGCCGAGTCTCAGCATGAGGGACGTCTTTGTCTGCGCTGCTGTTGATCGTCCTTTATCAAGAGACTGCGCTGTTTTCGATGCTGATCGTGATGTTAAAGCAAGTTGCGAAAAGGTGATGTCGTACTGATCACAGGCATTTTGAGCCGCTTCAGGGTTATCATTTTCTGCATTGAGGAAGCGAATGCTTGCTCGCGGAATTTTAAGTAGTACATCTTTGATGTGACTTTTGACCTTGGCCTGTTTCTGTTCGTCGACCAAATTTGTAACAGCATTCATCTGAAGAGAGTCCAAAATGTCCTCTGGGTCCGTCGGCTGTAAAGCTGCAATCAGCCCTGAGACGTAGCGCACTGATACTGGGTTCAAGCACGCCGTGATACCTGAAGGTAGTTCGATAATTGTACTCGAATAAGCGTTGTCGTCACTGAGAACATCAGTATCAACATCATCGAGGCCGAATGTTGTTGCGTCGCCATCTGCGTCGAGGTCTCTCAGGTCAAGACTGGGAGCTGCCAATCCGCTTGTCCCTGGTTGAGCATGCTCAAGAGGGAAGTGAGGAGGATGGAACTGGCTGGAAAAAGCCATGGATGAGTGTTGATCTCGACCATGACTCTCGCCTAACATGCCATACACTGACGGCTGACGGCCAGTAGATGCTGAGAGGTCCCTTCGTGATCTGCCGATTGATCCAGAAGGGGTCATGGCTCTACTATCTCGGAAGGAGTGGTTTGACTTGGGATATCCCGCCAACAGCCGCGTCTTGTCTGTGGAAACATTGCTGTCGTTGCTGGTTGCTGTGGATATGGACAAGAACGAGCTTTTGTGGCGAAGGCTCCGGGAATTGTTTGACGGAATCGTGGACGCTCGAGAGCTCGACTGCTCATCATCATGTTCCATCACCGCGGGATCGGGAACGACGGGAGGAGCTGTCGCTGGCGCATCGATGGGATCTGGGACCAGCTCGTCAAGGAGACCCGGCAGAAGAAGAAAATCAGTCCTGTGTGTCCGTTGATCCTCTCTTCGGACCAGCTCCTGCTGCAATTTACGCTCTTCAGAGAAATTGAACTTGCGGCCCACGATGGCCACATGAATGGTCGCCTTCAGAAGAGCGTCGGCTTGTAGATTATGTGGAAGCCTCGATCTTTGTCTGGCGGCTGCCTCAGAGTTGACGCAGGATACTTGAAGGTTGGGGATCCGGATATCTGCGCGTTTCGAGTAGTGCGTCCGCGCCCAGTCGTTGAATTTGACGTCGATAGTCTCAGTAGAAAGCAAGAATGCCGCTTCCTCCACATGAAGCCAAACTCGAACCGACTGGACTGCAACACGGAGAAACGTGACATCGTACATAACGATGGAGGAATATGGTATCAAAGCGTTCTCGTCGTCGTCAAACTCAAACCCAAAGACTTGACCACCGCGCATAAGAGCCGCCAAGAAGTCGGCTGTACATTCGCCTGTTACAGTTCCAACAGAAAGGTCCCAATTGCAGAGATACGTTGGCTCTGTTGGCGGCAGTCCAAAGAGGCGATGACCATAGATTCCTAAGCCGTCGATAAAAAGTTGCGTACTACTTGTAGCACTGATGGGTGTCTCCATTCCCGAATCACTAGTACCTAGTGATAGATTCAAAGGACTCACAGCGAGTTCCAAATCCATATAATAGTTAGTAAACCGCAGATCAGCAGTGATGCTGGCAGTCTCGACTTGGATGTTGCGTTTTGTAGACCATAGATTTGCGGGTATCAGCAATCGTGTGTCATCGACCCGAACATGGAGGACCACATCAAGGTCATTGGACTTTTTCGGTGGTGGTCGGAGTGCTGCCTCCGCCTCTGGGTCGCGCTCTCTTAGCTGCAATGTCTCTTGGTACTCGTCCAGTGTTTTGAAATGAACGTCGTCTCCAAAGTAGTTATCTTTCAGCTTCAAAGCATATCTTATAATGAAGCCATGTATCGTAGCCGTGGGAGATTGGCCCGAGACGTTTAGAGTAAGTATGTCTGTGTTAGCAGGCGAGGTAGTTGCATTGTAGGTGTAGCCACCATTGACTGTCAAATTTTCGCCCTGTCCAACCTCCTTGGAAGTAAGGAATGACGCTTGTGTGTTCCAGGGGGGTACGTGCAATGCGAGTGAGAAGGACTCCGCTTTGATATCGAAGGGGATTGTATTCTTGCTGGGCCGGTACTTGTCGATAGGAATGCAGACTTGAGATGCGAGAACAGGAGTTGACAGCACGAGATATGCATTGTCGTCCAGATCTGTAGGTTTGTTAATGATGTTGCCATCGTTGACGTTTAGGTAGAGTTTGAAGTTTCTGAGATCGATGTTCATATTGTAGCGGAAAGGAGTGAACACCAGATACTCCGCAGGCGGGCCGCTAGCCCAGTCGTCAACGAGATCAATGAGCAAGAAAACATGATCCCTGAGTAGGAACAATTCCATGTCGTTTGCTGAGACGTTGAAGTGCCAGGACCGTAGAGCATTCCAACTCAACGGAGTCGAAAGATCACAGCGTACTCGCTGTGCCCCTGAACGCCACAGCAACTCGTGATTGACACTACTGGAGAGTTCAGTGCCTGGTAAATCTAGGTCAAGGCCCATCTTGTAGCCATGCGTGCCAGCAACCGAGTCCATTGAGTAGGAAATCGTGGCATTCGCAGCAATCTTGAAATCCAGCCAGCCGGCGGGCCGGAGGGGGGCCGCGTCTCCCTTGCTGTGTTTCTTGGCCTTCGCCCTCTGCTTTCTGGTTTGGTGCGGACGATCATCCTTGGTAGTCGGCTCTTTACCCTTCCATCGCCAATTCTTGGAAGTCTCTCTGGTCGGTATTCTTAGTGTCAATTCTTCTTCTAGCTCCACATAGAGCTTGAACTGTGTTGAAACACGGAAGGCGCCCGTAGGCAGGGGCTTTGCTGGCGTGGCATCTTTCGATAATCCCGGCAAGAAGACCCGTTGCAAATCTGCTCTTCGGCGATCTGCCCACGGCCCGTAGTTGGCAGTGCCACCCTTGAGAGACAGGTTGATGCCCCATTCTGGGGATGTAGCGCCATTAATGTTCGAAATGGCATTTCCTTTGTTTATCCGTCGACTGGCCAATTCGTCGGTGATCCTGGCGGGAGAATCCCAGTATACAGTCAGGGTTGCCTCTGGACTGTCGATTAAAGTTGTCGCTGCTGCATATTCCACGTTCGACCATCGCGTCTTTGAATCCCGATCGTCGTCATCCAAATAGCGAGCGAGTCCTTGCCACTGGCCCGAAGACGGAACGTGCGTTGCTGTCGCCCCGGCCGTGGCTCCCGAGTCAACGAAAAAGGACTCAACGGATTTGCGCCAGTACGGAACAAGATTTCGAAGCCTTCCGAGGGTACGCCGCTTGTGACGCATGAGGAAACCGGCCTTGACAAAGTGATGGCTACCCTGGGGCTCCTGCTTGCCCTTGCTGGCTCTCACAACTTGGTCTTCTTTGTAGTCCTCGTTGTCTTTCATCTCAATCACGGGACGATCAAATTTGATCTTGAATACTTGCCTGTATGGATCAGGGCCTTTGGTGGCAGATGCGTTTACTTCACCTGTCAATGAGTTGGCTTTCACTACCATAATAGCCTTCGTGTTTTCATTCCCAACCACAAGTGCTGCCTTCTGGCAAGTGATGTAGATCGGGAACAATTGCAGCATGGCAGGTAGGTCAGATTGAGATTCTGCCGACGTCCTCGAGCCCGTGTACAAATCTGAAGAGCTGGAGCGACCGGTCGAAGAGCGTTGCTGTGGGCTGTTCCATTCGGGTGAATCCGGTGCACCAGGCGTGCTGGAGGTGTTCTTGGCCCCGTGGTTGCTGACTGGTACTGGCTGAATCTCATCTCCCAGCTTTTCGGACAACTTGGAGCCTCGATTACGCAAGTTCGCGGTCGTCTCCTCGCTTGTCCCTGTTGTTGCGGCATCCTCAGTTTTGTTTCCTGTCAGACCTGCCAGAATACCGTCATACACAGGCGTCCGGTTGTAGACAAACCATTCAAGGCCAGCCACTGTGACGGTAATACGACAAGGCAGCTCCTTCTTATTTTCCCCCTTTTTGGGAGACTCGCCTCCCAGTTGATGCTCATTCCTCTTAGAGTCTTTTATGTCCACGTCCCTGACACGGCGCAGCCAGTATCTCCAAGTGATATAGCCGTGCTGTATGTGGAAGGCCTCGTTGTTTCCATGGTATTTGAGACCGGTGAAGAAAATGCGGCCGCCGAGGAGTGATATTTGTAACGCCTGGATATCAATGTGTATTCGGTGTTTGTGCCATGACCAAGCCCTGATACCCTTGGATATGGACCAGCTGAACACTCTGTTGAAGTAAAGCAGGAAGAAGATGGCTCTGGTGTTATGTCAGCGCCGATTGCGGTTCTGGTTCGTGGCGCAAAGGAGTACATACAATACGCTAGCTAGAATGATGAATCCGAGAAAGGCGCTGCGAGGAACGTGTCAGCACTGGCTCGTTGTCGCGAAGCACTGGCTCGTTGTCGCGATGTAGCCGCGGAACATACCCATTGAAGCGTGGCAAGGTTTCGGGGATTCGGTTGAAGTCGTTTGGAGAGTCGGCGTCGGCCATCTTTATGTACACACTGCGTGTCACGCAACAGCACAGCTGGCTAGACCTTCAGCTCACTGCCCGCGTCGATCAGTCGGCTCGTGTAGTCCTCCCGTCTGCCATTGCTCGGAGAGTCGGCCGATGCGGATGCTGGCTCTGGACTAAAGTGGGTGTGGTTCGTTGTTTCTCAGGACAACGTGTATCCATTGACCAAGAAATTCGTGTGGTCGGGTTGCATGTCGGGTTTCTGTCAGTGGACGCTGCTTCTGGTGTTCGTTCGAATGTTCTCCCTGAAGCTGTTGTCGATCGCTTCAACAGAACAACGCCTTGACTGAGCCACGAGCCACTCGGAACAGACACCTTCAGACCTTGGACGTCCAGAGTGCTGGGATGACGCGCTGGGCATGAGGTTCCACGCTAACGACCCCCGGAGCTTTAGCTCAAGCACCTAAAGGCAGGTACGTGAGGTCAGGTACGTACCTAATTACCCCACGCGACAGGCGCAACCAGTGACCTGTGACTTCAACACAACCAGAAGGGCGCCAAGCACCAGCTCCTAAGGTAGCTGTCGCATCATCTCGTGGCCATCGTCATCTATCATCACTTGCATCTTAAGCTGCTGCCTGACTGAATGATTTGACCTCCACGCTTCGCCCAAACCCAAGACACAGCCACATTTTCAGTCATCGGAATACTGCCATGACTGAAGGCGCAGAATAACGAGAGACGATACTCGCATCGACACATCCATCTCGCTCGGCATTAAACATGGCTGGTGGTACTGGTCAGAAGCTCACGACTGCGACGACGATAGTCGCAGGCGTCGCAGCTCTGGTCGCCACGCTTCTTTCTATTGTGTAAGCTCTATGGCAGTGCTTCCAAGTTGACGCTATGGATATGTGGCTAACTAGATCGTTGTGCGTAGATCCATCACTCTTCAGGCGTTCGTTCTACCCCGACACCCCCTCGTTCGAACTTCGATTAACGTCCGAGATATACAGCAAGAACTACCGAAAGCCTCTTCTGCAACGATATGTGGTTCGAATCCTGTTGATGTAGGATTCCTTCCTGCCCCAGCGCGTCTGTTGTGCTGAACTTAACCCGTGAAATAGGGTGCCCATATATTCCATCGCTTCGTGGACAAGCATGATCTCGTTGAAGGCCGCGCAGTTCGTTGATCCCGTTCGCGATATTTATGAGGTACGTCTACACTGCTGCTCCACGCGTCGCTGCCCCCCATCTCATTATCATGCAAGGCCTTTACGATATACACCTTCTTTCACCTTCTTATCAACTACCTCGGTGGTGAGCGATCCTTGATTATCATGACCCACGGCCGCGAGCCTGTTAGCCACCTATGGCCCATGAACCACGTCCTTCCTCGCGTCGATATCTCGGACCCTCACACCTTCCTGGCTATCAAACGCGGAATCTTGCAATACGCCTGGCTGAAGCCTGTCCTCAGCGTCGCTTCGATCATCATGAAAGCCACCGGCACATACCAAGAGGGCTACATTGGTCTTTCCTCCGGCTATCTCTGGAGTGGTATCGTCTACAACGTCAGCGTGACTCTGAGTCTATACTCACTGGGTTTGTTTTGGGTCTGCATGCACCAGGATCTGTTGCCGTTCCGCCCTGTGCCTAAGTTCCTCTGCATCAAGCTCATCATCTTCGCGTCGTATTGGCAGGGGTTTCTGCTGTCCATTTTGGTGTGGCTGGGTGCTATACCTGACAGTGTTGAGGGCTACACCCCCGACAACCTTGCGGCCGCCATACAGGACGCTCTGATCTGCATCGAAATGCCCGTATTCGCTGTCGCGCATTGGTATGCATTTTCGTGGCATGACTTTGCTGACCAAAACGTTCTCGCCGCACGCATGCCCGTCAAATTTGCCTTTCGTGACGCCTTCGGCATCAGGGATCTCATCGAGGATACGAAGCAGACCTTCTCGGGTGACCAGTACAACTACCGCATATACGATTCAGGTGACAAGATCATGCCGCACGAGGAGTCGCGTGCCAGGCTTGGGAGGCTGAAAGAAGGTATGCGGTACCAGCGCGGTGGCAAGGGCAAGTACTGGATTCCGACGCCCGGTCAGGTCGACCGACAGGTCAACCATGACCTCAATGAACGCGATCCCCTACTATCTGGCACTGCTGGAGGGCCAAGCGAGGAGTACAATTTCGAAAATGGCACATTCCATGACATTGATGAAGAGAACAAAGACCCCGAAGAAGAGGAGCTCTACGCCAAAGCAAGAGAGCTCGAATATGGGGATTGGAATGTAGGTCATTGGTGAACCCTTGCGCAAGATGCGTTCTGACAGACCCAGTACCCCGTCATCACTGCCCATGAACCGCTGCGAGAGCGTTACGCTCGAGCTCCAGACGGCAACTACCGCTACCAGCCCTCCAGGCCGCAGGGCCCGCGCACATACTCACAGAACAGCCATCAGTCTAGCGAGCCAGCCGTCGTCAGCAGCAGGCCGAAGAAGCAGAAACAGAAACAGAAGCAGAAACGCATTCCCGCTCCGAAGCTCTCTGGACAAGGTCTTATCCCCGATCACTCCTCTCCAACCGCTGGCCCAGCAGCGGCCTCCTCAAATGTTTCAACGCCCAGGGTTCAGTCGCCCAAGCCAGTTCATGCGACAGCCGCCGAGAGCGAAAGCACCGAGACAGTTGCTTCTTCCAAGACCAAAGACAACAAGAAGAAGCCGGCAGCTGCACCCCAGAAGCAGGCCACGCCCCACGAGTCCTCGCCGTGGGCGAATAAGGACGAATCGGAAGACGAACCAGATCTACGATTCCGCGTTGGCGATGAGGAGGAGTTCCGTAACGTGTGGGATGGAGGCGACCAGCGCGATCGTTAGCCTGCGTACATCTTGAGCTTTGCACACAGTTAGGTTTGGTCACTATACACAGCGAATGCCGGGTCAGCATAGCGAATAGGCGTTTAGGTCACCTTCCCCATTTTACGTTTCATCAATCATTGTTGGTATTGATATCGCTTGCTGTTGCTACATATTCTTGGGGAAATCGCTTGTGTGCTTGAAGCCTGGTCTACTCGCGTGACACATCTCTATAGGGCTTGCCTGGCTCTGGTGACAACGATCCGCTGCTTGTCCGTTCACTGAGCTCTTGCTCCCCTTGCTGTAAAAGAGGTCGCTGCTGGAAAAGTCGCTCGATCACCCGCGGGCGGGAAGCTGTCCCCGGGACGTCAACGACAGAACTTCCCATCGTCTGGGCGGTATGCTTCTTTCTGCGAGCAAGAAGCCACATGCCAAGAAGGATGGTACCACTCAAAATTGCCAGGCCGGCTACACTAGCGCCGATGGCGATGTATATGGCCCTGAGCTGCGTGTCATCCTGCCCCTCGCTCGATGGTGGTGGTAGTGGACCTTGTCCGACATGTTTGTTTGGAAACTCTACAGGTGGTAGGGGCCTGTATCCTTCACTTGCAGGCGCGGGTGGTAGAGGGCCAGTCGCCCATTCTTTCGCTTCGCGGCCGAGCTCGAACTCCATTGTGCCCCCTTCGGCAAAGACGTCACCCCATGTGACCCAGCTGCGGGTCCATGGTTTTCCGTTGACTTTGAGGGATTGAACGTGCCAAGATTTGTTCGCCTCACCAATGCCCGTCGCTATGATTTGCAGCGTCTTGCCTCCGCTGAGATGGATGGTGAGATCGGAGAACCAGGGCGCGACGATGAGGAATGTGGTCTGGCCGGTCAAAGGGTACATGCCCAGCATACTCCAGAGAAGCCACGACTCCATTGCACCCGCATCTGAATTTCCGGGCAGACCGTCGGGAGTGGGCTTGTAGTACTTGCGGGCGATGAAACGGCTCCTTTCGATGGACAGGTCCGGCCTGCCCACAAAGTTGTACAGATAGGGGGTGCCGAAGCTTGGTTCGTTGCCAGGATTAAATATGGTGTGCCCAAATTGGTCGTTGCCTTTGTACTGACCCGGCTCGAACGTCTTTTCGAGGCGGTCGCGGAAAGTGTGGTTGCCGCCTGCGAGATCAATGAGGTGGGACAAATCGTGATGTGCGTTGAACGAATACTCCCAGGAGAGGCCTTGATAGAGCAGATCTCCCCAGTAGCAGCCGCCGCAGTCCAGAGGGTCGTGATCGAGCCACGCGCCGCTTTTCTCGTCACGCGGACCCAGGAACCCACGAAATCCCAGTGCCTCGAGATCAGGATTCCATTGATTACGCCAGTTGCGGGAGCGGTTGAGGTATATCTCCGCCTCTTCCACCTTGCCTAGCCCAGCGGCAACTTGGTGTAGAGCAAAGTCGTTGACTGAGTATTCGACGGCACGCGTCAGTGAACGAGTGAACTTCGGGGTGATGTATCCATGCTCTAGCCAGTCGGGCAGGGCGCCCCGACCCTCTTTTGTCGAGCCAAAAGGGTCTCGAGGATCGTCGTTGTTATCGGGGGTCACTTCGGCATTTTTCACCATGGCCGCAAAGCCGTCTTCCCAGTTGACCTTGCCCCTGACACCCTTTACGTAGGCATCGGCCAGCACGTTGTCGCTGTTAGATCCGGCTTGTACTGCGCCGTTCCAGAATGAGGAGCGCGCATCAGACACATAGCCCTCGAAGCGGAATATATCGATGAGAGACCGGATAAACTCTTCGTAGGCGGTAGGGTGGATGATGTGCATAAGAGAGGTTGTACAACGAAACGTATCCCAAAAGGTAAAAATGTCGTCGTAATAAGGTTCTTCCGATTTCCATAGCGGGTTCTCGCCCGTCTTATTCTGGGGCAAAAGATGCATAAAATAGAGCGCCGTGTAGAGCTGATTCAGTTTCCGTTCGTCTTTGTCGGTAGACGTCACCTTGCCCAGTATCTCAGTGTTCCATACGTCTCGTGTCTTGTTTCTCAACGTCTCCAGACTTGTGCCACTTGGTATCTCGCGGTCGACGTTTTCACATGCTTGCTGTGCAGAAATGAAAGACACCCCAACTCGAGAAGTGATGTCGGTGTCATCGAAAGCAAAGCTGGCACCAAGCCGCCCGTCGGAGGATTTGATCGTGGCATTGTCGCTTCCAAACATGATGATCTCGTCCGACTTGCGGTCTTTGCTGAGAAATGTCTTCCACGTAGCCTGGCTATCGAAGTAACCACAGAAATAGACGCTCCAGGGTGCTGCCCGGTTCCAGCCCTGGAAATTTCATCAACTTTGTCCTCTAAACACATCGGCAGGATCGGACTCACATTGTCATATGTTCCATGCCCGGTATATCTGGTTTGCATGTTTCCATCCTGCTCTACGGTGATGCTCCCACCTAGGTAGTTCTGCCCGAGACCCTGACCCCGATATGATGGCAGAACATGGGAGACATCGACAACGATCTGGGCGTCAGTTCCGTCTTTGGGGAATCGGTACCTAAACATGCCCGCCCTGTCGGTGGCTCCTAGCTCGACAACCACCCCAGATCCTAGCGATGCCTTGTAGTAACCTACTTCCGTCACATCACCATGCTTTCTGGTGGCTGTAACTCCAAGCATTGGATTGGAAATATCGCCGACCACTGGCATCTGGCTGACGACTCCGTATTTGGGTGCTCCGCCGGTGCCATGTTCGTGGAGCATGGAGAAGCCAGTAAACTCGCCATCGGGCTGGAATCCAGAGTAACTGTCTCGTCCGTTTTCGAGATCAGGTCCGAGTTTGACCATACCAAATGGTCGCGACACTCCTGGGAAAGCGTTGCCGCCTTTCACGGTCCCTGTCTTGACCAAGCGTGTTAGTAGCGTGCTATGGATTGGCTAAGAAACAACGATTATCAACGAAGCCTTACATCTGTCAAGACATAGCTTGAAAGGTCGTGACGTCTTTTGCTCGCAGATACTGTAGCAACTGTAGCTAGCAAGAAAATACCAACGAATAACATGACGATGGCTGGCAAGTGAAATGTCCGCAGAGCAGTGATGGAACCCTTCGCGCCCAAGTTCTCTTGTTTGCGCAAGATAGTTGGTGTAGCTCAAGGTTTGCAACTGACCACGCAGCAGATTCTTGTCCCGCAAGCAGACATCAAGACACTCGAAGGCCGCTGAGAACAAGCTCGCGAGATATGCCTGTGCACACAGGTGGGCCCAGTCTCTGTCAGATGTGTAGAAAGGCTCGCGAATTCCGTGTGATGTTCAATCAAAGCCTGTGGTTGCGAATCAATCGGCGTGTGGACACAGGCAAGCCAGATATAATGGCCATGTTGTGAGAAGAGGGATGAACGGAGGTACGGCACCAGAGTAATAGGGATAGAGGCGACGAGGTAATGTACAAGAACTGGATAAGCTATGGCCAGTCACGGCCGACCGCCCATAGGACTTGGCCTGATTTACGTCTGGCTACATGATAGCCAGGCGGCAGCCTGGGCTTCCATGCCGTTTGCCCGTTCTGGCCGCTACATTTTTTGACAAAGATGGGCGGATGGTGAGAGGTTTGGGGACTCTTGGCTTGACATGCCATGGCTGCACACCCACAAAACCGTCAGCCCAGGCTAGACGAAGACGCGGCACTTCCACAACGACAAATCAGGGGGGAAATTCAAGGTGGGGAGGGGAGGGGGCTGGAATGTTGGTTGTTCCTGGGGGTGGCGTGTAGAGCAGTTGACGAGACAAGTTCTTTGCTTGTGTCAAGCAGTCCGATCATCGAGCTTCTTAGTTTGTCGACCTGATGCGCCTCGTCGTTAGCATCTCAAGAATCCCATGTTGTAAGAGGATTGAAGGCAGACAGAGATTCAGGCTGTGCTTGCTGTGCCGCCGATGACCCTGGTGGGCTATTTCCCTTTTCGTCTTGTCCTGCCTAACGTGGTAAGCAGGAAGGAGGCTTAGGAGTGTGGGATGCTGAGCGTGAGTAAATACAGCATGAGGCACAGAAACCTGCATCAGTTGGCCCCCAGGCGACCCGAGTTTCGCGCCCCGGACTACTAAGCTGACACCAGCTGTGGTTAAAATCGTGGCAGGGCCAGGGGACTGGCCAATAACCTGGCGATGCCGAGACTCCGGAAATAGGGCCAAGATGTTGGCGGTCGAATCCTCCTCAACTCCAGGGCGCCGTTACGACCACGTGCCGAGCTTAACCTGTCCACCAAGCAATCTGCGGCCCGTGACAGCTACGCTATTCGTGTTGAGGCAGGGCATCTGGTTGCTGGATAAGCCTCATAGACGCTTTGCAGCCAGTTTGCCACCATTTGTGCCCACTTGCTCGTCCAAGATAGCACTTGTGTATGGCCGACGCACTACTCTGGCCGAGAAGAGGTATTCGCAGGGCCTCTCCACGGCCCCCGAAACAAGCAGGGTTTGGTAATAAGGCTGGGCCCGCGATGCTGCCGAACGCCGATACGAGAGATCCCGCTTTTCTTTCATTGGGGGCGTCGCAAGGATCAGCTTGTTGATATAGTCAGGGTCCTCGGCTAGCAGCACAATGAGATGATGGCCATGAGAGCCGTTCGGGTGGCCGTGGTCTTGCTCGAGTCATCACTGCTCTTCTCTTGTCAAGGCCGTTCCCAAGCAGCATCAACAACCATTTCATGGCATTTCATGGGCCAGCTGGCCGGGCAGCGATCTGGGGAACTGCTAGCAATGTGACAGTGCGCTACAGGCATGCATCACGGTCAGCACATGACACGCCAAACTGGTAACCACGTGTTCGAGTGCGTGGGTCACCGCATTACTCAGCTGATCGATGGGCATTTCGACAGGCACGTGATCCGATCTGTTCCGAAGGGTACGCGGATAAACCTGACCAATGGCCTGTCCCACTTCACCCCCACCGGATTATCTTCCCAACCTCCAGGGTCCAGTCGAATCATCCCAAAATGGGGAGCGGTCAGACAAATTTTGTCGGTCACAGAAGGCAGAATCTCATGAAAGTCCTACTTGCCCGAACCTCATCACCAACAATTCATCACGTGCCGGCATTTTGGGGCTTCAATTCTGCCCCAAGTCGCCTGTCAAGCTGTTCACTTACCCTGCCGTCTGGACCACCTTACTCTGGTGTGTTCGGAGACCCTCCCGCACCTCGCAAGCGCCATAGTGAAGGGATCCGGCAGAATGGGTCGCAAGCCAAATCCCATCATCTGTGAATACTTCACCCGTGGACCCAAGCTCACCGACTCGAGCAACCGCTACCCGCACAAATGCAAACTGTGCGGTGAGAATTTCCCCAAAGGACGTGGCGAGGCTCTCACAAAACACATCACCGAAAAATGCCCAGCAATCACACCTGAGCAACGCATCAATGCCGCCCTCAACCTCTCTGGCTTGCAGGCCCGCAGCCTTGCCTCTCGCCATCTCAACGACCACGTTCGTGCCAGCAATGGCATCGCATCAGCGAACGAAGCTCCCGAAGCGTGGGACGCCTTGCAGACCTTGGCTGAAGCCTCGCGCCAGGTTGGGGCAACGGAAATGGTCCCCCAGAACAGGAATCTGATCGACCCCGCGATCCAGCAATTCAACCCTCATCATGGTCAGCCAGATCACACCAGCGGATTGGAACTTCAAGAGCAATTCACCCTTGAAAATCCACCCCCTAGCTATGAGCAGCCCGCCCATCGAGAGAAGCCAAATCATATGCACATTGATGACGCTCTCACCAGTTATGAGCTGCCGGATCAGCGCGACAAACGAGGTCAGTTGAGTCCATCTTCTCTCATGACCAAGCATCGTTCCTCATCGGAGAAAACTTATTGAGGAGAGGTTTTGAGAGAACGAATGTGCTAACGAAATTCAAGCTGATGAACAGAGCGCCTCCAACCTCTTGACGGCAGAACAGAAACTTGAGCACCTTCAAGTGGCAACCCAGCAACAGAGCCACGCTGTCTCGCCCGAGGACTCGGCAAGTCTTAATGCTGCCGTAGCTGCTGTTGCTGCGGCTACCGCACGGCTCAACCACCAGCTGCTTGACGAGAGCCGTGACGGACCATCCAACCAGGAGATTGCTGACGCACTTGCCTCGCCCATGCGAGAGGTCAGCGCCGAATCTCACCATTCAGGTCCTCCCCACCCTCAGCAGCCATGGGGTGAAATGTCCTATGTTCATAGCAGTCCGATTCCTCCAGCTCCTTTGAACCTGCAGCCTGCTGCTCCCATGGTGCAGGTACAGCCCGCGCCGCTTTCAATGTCGCCCGTTCATGTCCGAGGCGGCACCCGGATGTCCATAGGCAATGGCGTCCGGAGCGAGCACAAACGCAAGGCCTATAACCCTGTTCGGCGCAAGGAGGTCCAAGCCGCACGCAAGAAGGGAGCCTGCATCAGATGCCGAATCCTAAGAAAGACGTGTGGTCTCAACGACCCTTGTGACCAATGTCGGAAAATCCACGGGCCCCGGCACTGGACATACCCCTGCGTGCGTACTCATCTGAACCAGTCGCTGACGCTGTACTCTGCGGGACTCGTTGTGGTGCTTTCGCAGAATAGAGTCAACCAAGCACGCAGCGCCTTTGAGCTCATTCAAAACGGAACCAAGGTTCGCGTCGCCATATGGAATGATAGCGTCCCCATGAGCCTGTTCGCCTTGGTCACTGCCAGGCCTGCTTCTCCCACCGAGGACTTGAAGGCCGAGGAGGAAGCCGCAGAGCCAGCGAACAAGGATGAAGCGGAGGTCAAACACCAGGCCATCATGATTGACCAGGACAAGGAAGACTTACCGGCTCGCATGGAGACCTATGTCCGCGAGATGCTGCCTTTGCTCATCGAGCGCGAAACCTCTCACTTTGTCCGCGTTGTGCTCGAATTCGCTCAGAAAGCTGAGCAGAAGACTGGCGATCTTGTCACACGTGCCCTCGAACTCTGGGGACTCATCGAGATCCTTGACCACGAGCGCAGCTGGTCCATATCCGAGGAACAGGATGGCAAGTTTGTCGCCAAGACGCCCGATGACCACGGTGGCTCCACGCAGGACCTCTATACGCTCATGACCTGGCAGCTTTCGGCCGCTGCCGAGCGAAAGGCGAACGCCGTTTCGCAGAAGCTCGTCAACGAGCTGCAGCGCTGTCTCGAGAACGGCAAGGTGACGCTGCACTTCGACGTGTACCTCACGATTTTACTTCTCCTTCATTGCCTAGAGAAGACGACTTGGACTATGAAAGTCTGGGAGATGGACGACTTCCGCCAGCGCTGGCCCCTTGACCGCCCGCCTTCTGCTTTTACCACCCAGGGCCAGGAGATTGCCGAGTTGCTCAAGATGCTCCTCGCTCTTCGGAAGGCGCACCCCAAAACGTTTCGCGGACACGGAGGCCTGCTCGAGGTGTTTGAACCGCAGAGCCAGGCCATTGCCGACTTTTTCGGCAAGCTGAGCCTGCAGTGTAAGTGTTCGCTCAAGTTTGATGTCCGTGTAGCCTGTGCTGACAAGCACGACAGACGATGAGGTCGTTGACCGCCTCAAGGGAAACTCTTTCACCCCGCGAAGCTCAAGCTCCCTCGAGTTCCAGTTCTCTGGCATAGTTCTGCTCCCGCGGCAGGAGAGCGATGCCGTGGCCGAGCAGACGGCGGTACCAGCTCCAGACGTAGCTCAAAGGCCGGACCAGGCCATGTCCGGATAGAATCACGAATGGGCCGAGTTCGAAGCCTCGGTCGACGACCTCTAGAACCGCAGGCCCGGGATCTTAGCGATCTCCCGCCCCATGATGATGACCAACGACAATAATGATGTACGATTGAACGGGAATGAATTGCAGGAAGTTGTAGAGGAGGGAAGAAAGCCGTTTGGCCCTAGGCTTCCACAAACCTAGATCAGACAGAGCTCGATTAGATACCTGAATCAGCCTCTTCACCGAGGAGTCTAATGAACAAGTCGAGTTGACACAACATACTACGCTCGTGACATCCACGCGAGGGCTGCGGGACCTGCCACACCAGGGGCCAAACTCTCATCTACAAGTTCACCCCGCAACGTTGCCAATGATTTAGATATCACCAATGGCCGGCCAGGATACTCATTTCCACCTCGCCCAGAAGGCGTGCTAGTTCTTTGGCCCGGTGCTGCTCCCGTTCGATATAGTCGACCCGCCCGTATCCCGCCTCTCGATACCGCCGCCTGGCCCGCCTGCAGGTCGATTCTTGAGCTTCTTGAAGCAGGCAAACTCGCTTTTGCTCGCTTCACGCAGGCGCTTGAGCACGCTTCGCATCTCAGGCAGCTCGCTCTGCAGTCGCGCACGCGCGTCGTTGTCGGTGCGGGCATCGAGTTCCTGGTAAATCTCGCTCTGCAGCTGAGAGGCGCGGTCCGTGGTGTACTGGCTCAGCGTTTGGGCGATGAACTCGACGTCGAGGGTTGCTTGCATGAGGCCGGCTAGAGTGAACCGTTCGTGCGAACGGAAGGCCTCGAGGAGCTCGCGCGTCGTCTGCTCGAGGAGATAGGATAGAACCTGGGAGGCGAGGGCAGGTGCCGTGGTAGAGACTTGGGAGTGGATGAGGACGAGGGTGAGTAGAACCTCATAGACGTAGGGGTTCGCCTCACCGGGCTTGTCGCCGGAAGTGGCAGCCCAGTCACGGGTCGCGATGCCGTTGCGGACGGTGGTGCGGAGCAGCTCGAGGGGAGAGCGTGTGTACGACTGGAAGAGGCGGGCGTCAATTTGTCCCAGGACGTCGCGAATCGTTTTAGACTCATCCGTCAGCTTGACGGAGAAGGCGTTCTCGAATTGCGTGTTGAGGCTCGGCACAACTTGAGATCGGAGGGCTTGCAGGTTACTGAGGGTGACAAGCATGCGGATGTTCTGAGAAAATTAGCATGACAGTCCATACGGATCGCGGAAGAGGCCAAAAACCTACCCGGTTGCCTGCGTCGAGGGTACCACGCCCGCCGTTTGCTGGAGGCGGCGCAGTCGTCGCAATTGAATTTTCGGCTTCGGTGGTCCATTCGTCGTCGCCCTTCTTCACAGCACGCTCGGCATTCTCGACCATGCCGCTGAGTGCCTTGTACAGTGTGGAGACGTATTGGCTTCGGACCATCTGGAGCAGCTTGGACGGAGGCGGGAGGACAATATCCCCTGCGCCAGGCTTGGCCATGGCCTCGGAAATGTACAAAATCTTCTGCATGCCCGCCAACAGGGCGCCTTCGAAGGTGGCAAAACTGGACGGCATTCTCGTGACATCTCCGAGGTCGGGGGATCTGTACCAGTCCTCGACGTACTTGATATTCTCTGCGTCCTTGTTCCAGGCACCGCAAATTGCAGTCGCACACCTCTCTCGAGCTGCTCCAACAAGTGTCCTGAGCCTTTCCAGCGTGCTGCCATCCCCGGCCTGGACTGGGTTGATGCTCGCTAGGTCAGAAGCACCGGATCCTACGAGGGCAAGCATCTTGGACAGGTAGTGGACGCCACTGACTGAGTTTGACCATGGTGGCCAGAAGGCAAACTTCTCCCAGGCATCACCCCTCTTGGGGGATGGCGGCGGGATGTTATTGACATCAAAATTGAACCGAGGATCGCGCATTGCGTTGGGTGTCAGAGAGCCCGACATGGTGGCTGATTTGGGGGTGTTGGGAGACATGGGAAGCGGCGAGAACAGGAGGGAGATGTCCTCTGGTGGAGGGCCCGCGAAGAAGGTGAACACTGTTTCGCGAATCATGTCGACAAGCTCGACCACACCCTTCCGCAGGTCGGTGACAGCCTGGTCTGAAAGCCTGTGATGCACCCGCGATTCTCCATTGTAACCACCAGGTAGTGTTCGTTGGGCTGTGCCTTCCACGAAGCCCTGAACAGTGGTCCAGAATTCGACTACTTCGCCGAGGATGCCGGTCGAGGAGAGCAGACTTGATAAGAAGACGACCATTTTCTCCCATAGCTCAATTATGTCAGCTGTGTCGAGTGATGACGACTTGTTGTCCACCGACTGGTGTCCCAGAGCTCGGAGGTGTGACGCAATGAGATGCGGCGCCGGCTTCTCACCGTTAGCAAGTCGGCGTCGAAGGACCTCAATCTCAACTTTGGATCGGTCAGCAGTGAGCTGAATCTTCCCCTTGAGGTAATCATAGCGACTTGCGAGCCATAGCCAAATTGGGTTGTCCTCAACGCCGAGCTCCAATAGCAAGCCAATCAACTCGATATGCTGGTCCTGTGACTGTCCAGCAGCCTTGATCTCTGCTTTGGAGAGGGTGTGCAGGGAGATGAGCCTTCGGAAGTTGTCGCGCCTGAACTGCTGGACCTGCTCGTCAACGTCATGCCACATCCTGGCAGCAACCAAGATTTTGTACAGCTGGGTGTCGCTGGCGGCATCGGAACCAATCGACTGCGCCAGGTTTCGGGCTTGATCCGCAAAGCGCCTCGCCTTGTTGTACTCCTCCACCAAGCTTTCGTAGTCACGTCGTCTGATGCTGTCCGATATGGAGGCACTCAGCTCCACACAGTCTTTGAACTGGTCCAGTTGACTAGACACAATTCTGAGGTTCTCTTCTTTCTCACGCCCGCCAAGCGCTGGTCCCCATACATCCTCGGCTTTGGCCGAGACATCGAGGAGCGGACCCTTGATGCCCATTACGCCGTACTCGCTCTCCTTCACGATGGCGTTTTTCTTTCGTACGTCGACTCCAGGAGATGCCATCGAGTTGCCAGCCAGTGCCATGCCACCGCTGCTGTTCCGGAAACTACTCCTGCTAGCATGTCGAGAATGGCCGCGTTGGTGTCGTCCTGGTGTCGAAGGTGGCTCCGTCCCACGGTACTTCATCTCTCGGTAGACATTATCTATAGTTGCCTTGGCCTTGACGAAGCGCTCGAAGTTTGTTTCCACCAAGACTTTCAGAGAGGCTGACTTCTGGTCGATGGATTGGGAGAGAACATCAAGACCCATGAGCAGGCTTTGGGTGTCTGCTGTGGCGTGCATCTGCGACAGAAAGAGCGCGGGGGAAAAGGTCGTCGACGAGAGAAGGAAGCGGTTACCTATCACGATATGATTAGGTTCTTGCTCTCAGACAACTCGGGGGTGCATCTGCTACTGGAAGAACTCACGAAGACGTGCGTCATCTTGAACGGGCACACCAAGCTGGCGCAATGTCCTCACAACGCTGTCGGTTGTGCCCAGCGGATCTGGCTCATCCTTCTGGACAATGTTCCCTACTCCTCCCTTCTCAGACTGAGCGCCAGGTATGGTGCTCCTGCGGTCGCTCACGGCCCTCTCAAGCGCCTGATATCTGGATTTTCTCCTTCCCAGCTTTGTCTGCTTCTCCTCCTCCGCATCTGACCCGTCGCTGTTGTTCTTTTCGTCTGGCCATTCATTTGGGTATGGATTTGGTAGGCCGTAGAATTCGAGTACGCTTCGCTCGTAGTCAGCCATTTTGTTGGCTTGCGATCAATCAGCGACAGGGGCGGTTCATGACAGGTTGGGCTTGTTGGGCGATGACTGGCGCATTGGGGTGTTTTGCGTGGGCAGGAGAGCCAAGCAGGCGGTATTGAGGCGACCCGAATGATCACCCACGCGTACTTTATGGAGGAGAGTCGTATCGAAATGTTAAAGGTGGACGAGTTGGTTTGCGGACGGCGCGTCTGCGACTGATGGTCAAGCTCAAAGTGGAGATGGATTGTTAGAGATGGCGACGAGGGGTGTGGATGGAACAGCTTCATCCAGGGCGTTGCTGATTGGCTACCAGCAAGCTTGACTCTGTACTTCGAGCTTGGAAGTCAGCGTAGTGAGATGAAGCTTGGTATTCTGATTTAGAATATTTTTATAATAAGCAAAAGGGCCAAGCCATTCTGGGACCAATTGTTTCTTTCTTTTTATCGTTTGGTTTTTCATGTTCTTTTGGTGTTGTCGAATGCAAGGGACCAACCAGGACCTGTTCCCAGCCAGCCGTTTGGTGCGCTTGAGGTGTAGTTGCCTTCTGGTTGGAAAGCCCGCAGGAAGGACGATTTACGGCACGGAAAATTTAGTTCACAACACATCCAGAATATCAGCGGCCTCGTGTGGGTAGTAGCCAGTATGAAATGGTGCTTGAGCACAAGCAGGTAGACAATGCCTGATAGCCCCTCCATCTGCCTCACGTCTGTTTCCTCATCAAACAAGCGAGGCCAAGCCAAGCACAACAGGTTCGCCGCCACTCGGACAAGCGACTTGCTTACCTAAGGACAAGGCGGACGCTTTCTCTCTTTTGAGCCGAACACAACCGGAACGAGTCGGGCAGGAGGGAGGATATGCGCCACATGTGGCTGACATCTCGGAATTCGTCGCAGTTTAGGCGGATCGGCTCGGCCTTGCTAATGCCGTCGGTTTTTCGATTTCTTTGCAACCGACCTCCAGACCAATCCTCCATCTCCGAATCTCGAATCTCGAAAGCTCGATAACGTCCCTCCTCCCGTTCAGCCTTTCCGTCACACGCGCAGCAGCCAGGCTCATCCAATTCCCTACCAAACCTTCACAATGCTGGCCGCCCGTGCTTTCTCTGCGCCCATTGGCAGGCAGTCCCTCCGCGTCGCGCCCCGCGCCGCTGGCGTTGTCGCCTTCCAGGTGCGCTTCGAACCCGCCCATCGTGCGCCTTTGCTGCTTTGCTGACCATTGGCCACAGAGGTTCTACTCCGCCCAGGGCGATCGTGTCGCCAAGTTCAACGGTGTCAAGGATGCCAGCGTACGCCTCCCTCTCGCCCCCGGTCCCCTAAGTGCTGTCCTTTGAGCCGAGTAAAATCACTCAGTGGGCTGCGGCGAGGGATACGACGGCAACGTGTCTAACAATCGCATAGGGCAAGTACCCCGTCAGCTTGATTGAGGGTGACGGTATTGGCCCCGAGATCTCGGACGCCGTCAAGAACATCTTCGCTGCTGCCAAGGTACGTTCAATTAGGCGAGCGAACCTTTGTCTGCGCAAACCATGCTAACGCGGTTACCAAGGCCCCCATCTCTTGGGAGCCTATCGATGTCACCCCCATCCTGAAGGACGGCAAGACTGCCATTCCCGATGCTGCCATTGAGAGCATCAAGAGGAACAAGATTGCCCTTAAGGGTCCCCTGGCCGTAAGTCTACTCTCGCAGCCATCTGGGCAAAGTCCCGGATCACCGGTCCATTTCTGACATGATCTCTTAGACCCCCATCGGCAAGGGTCATGTCTCCCTCAACCTGACTCTCCGCCGCACTTTCAACCTCTTCGCCAACCTGCGCCCCTGCCGCTCCATTGCTGGCTACAAGACCCCCTACGACGGTGTTGACACTGTCCTCATCCGCGAGAACACCGAGGGCGAATACTCGGGCATCGAGCACGTCGTCGTTGATGGCGTCGTCCAGAGCATCAAGCTCATCACCCGCGAGGCCAGCGAGCGCGTCCTCCGTTACGCCTTCCAGCACGCCGAGTCGATCGGCCGCAAGAAGGTCCGCGTCGTCCACAAGGCCACCATCATGAAGATGTCTGACGGTCTCTTCCTCAACGTCGCCCGCGAGGTCGCCAAGGACTTCCCCAACATTGAGTTCGACGCCGAGCTCCTCGACAACTCGTGCCTCAAGATGGTCACCGACCCCCTCCCCTACAACGACAAGGTCCTCGTCATGCCCAACCTGTACGGTGACATTCTGTCCGACATGTGCGCCGGTCTCATCGGCGGTCTCGGTCTCACTCCTTCCGGCAACATCGGCGACGAGTGCTCCATCTTCGAGGCCGTCCACGGCTCCGCCCCCGACATTGCCGGCCAGGGCCTCGCCAACCCTACCGCCCTCCTCCTCAGCTCCATGATGATGCTGAGGCACATGAACCTGACCGAGTACGCCGACAGGATCGAGAAGGCCGCCTTCGCCACCCTTGCCGAGGGCAAGGCGCTCACCGGTGACCTTGGCGGCAAGGCCAAGACTCACGAGTTTGCTTCTGCCATTATTTCCAAGCTGTAAAGGACGACGACGACCGATTAGATACTCCACGACGCGCATCCAGGGTAGTACCGTCGTAGACTGTACAAACACACCTCTTTTTAACGTTAGTATAGCTTTTTCATGAATGGGATGAGCTTGGGTTTGACCAGCCGGTCTGTGTGCGCGCGATTCCGACGTGATCGAATGAATGTTTGGGCGGCGGCATGTGCTGGGCGCAAACTGGACACGCATGGCCGTTGGTCGTGCCGCACGAAAAGATGACACACCCGCTCTAGCTTTGCTGCTGTTGGCGCGTGATCTCGATCGCTTCTTCTGCAGGACGAGAAGAGGCCGGGGGGGATCGGCGGCCCGCGAAAGCTTGTCTGCGCCTCCAAGAACGTGGCCGTGCATCAGACGTCAAGTGGCATGCAGGGCGGGTTTCTTTGGCCCATACGCTGCGGCTCAAGCTGTCAGCATCTCACCGACGTGACGCAACTGACAGGTGACAGGGATATACGCAACATTTCTATAATCCAATGCAAAGGGCCTTGACGGACTAACATGTAGAGAGGCGTCAACGTCCCCACTCTGGGCGGGGAGGGGCTTGATTTCATGCCCATAGCGCAAGGCTCTAGTCTAGCAGTGTCCCTCAATGTCCCCCCTTCTCCCGTCAAACCCCCCAGCAAATGATATGTTTCGCTGCTTGAACATGAAGCGTAGAAGCCACGCTCCGACTCGGAACATCCTCCTCGTACTTTGCTACCGGACAAAACGTATATGGCGTTTCTAAGCGTCATGCCGGGAACTTGGTAAAGTTGTACACGAGAGCGTTGTATGCGAGAGAGAGAGAGAGAGAGAGAGAGACACGAAAGAGGCCGTCCAAGGAACTATGCCGACTAGTTACCCCATGTAGAGTGACGACGGCAAAGCCCATGGCGATTCAATCTGCTCCTTTGCCGTTTGGTAAATCCTTGGAAGCTGTCGGCCTTGTGTGTGCAGGGTCATAAGGTTCTCACGCAAGACTTAGAGTGGGGTTCCGTGACACCTTGTGGTTCATTTGTCTATTTTTTACGACCTGGACTGCTGTGTGGGAATCCATGATAGCCCAGTGTTTTGCCCGCGGCAAGTCCCCGAGGAAGCCTACAGCTTGACACCGGAAAAAGGAGCAGAATGGAGCAAAGTCGTTGGTACCTAGCATATTACTACCTTTTCCAAGGTCCTCCAGTTTCAGTCTTGTCGGCGGACCTTTATCCCGATTGGCGAGGTGGAGGTGATCGATGTCCGGATGGGCAACCACCTGTCAGACTATCTGGCGACGCTACGGGAAGTATGCCAGCTGCATGGGTTGTCTGAGGATAGCTCTGGTTGTTACCGCATGGCAGCGTGTCAGGCTGTCTCCAAAGCAACCTGTCACTACCTACCACGGCGATGGTAGGTCACGGAAGCATTCTGTTACCGCCCCGCGATGTCAATGTCAAGCCGAACTCGTTTTGGAGGCAGCTGTCTCAGCCCGACGAACATTGTGTCCGTGGCCAACTCTGCACGCTTCTTCGTCCGCCGTGACACTTTGCAGTCAGCGTCTTTGATTCGGGCGGGTCATTCAGCAGTAGAGCGATGTGGGGGACAGAGGAAGCTAGTCATGCGTCCGACTGTGGCCCAATGACGATGCTTCCGGTCGTCGGGACGCCTCGCAGGTAATCATAATCAGTTCGGTGCATCTTGCTCGGATCAAACGGCTCCCAACGTCGCACAGTACAGATGCGTGCTGGGTCGGCGGAGGCGGGGGGTTACGGGACGATCTGGCGCGCAGTGGCTTCGGAGAGTTCAAAGCATATTGCGCCTTATGTTCATCGGTAAGCGTCAAAGACATGTCTCCCCCACGTTTATCTTCAATTCGAGTCACGGCACCGTCCTTGCAACTTCTGAGGATTGGCCATCGGAAAGCGACACGATGACACGTTGTGATAGTGGCGTTGAGACCCGGCACCGACATCCGATTTGGCGGCTCAAAATGATCGGTCAGACAAAGACCACGCGACCCGACGCCTCGCATCCACCGCAATCGTAGGAAATGAGGCAAATGAGGACCACTGTCGAGCCTCGGTTTCGACCCATTACTCAGGACGTGCGATGACCGGTGTCGTCGGGGTTTTCAGAAACAAAGAATGGATCAGAGTCGGCCAGGGTCCTCGATCCTCGGTTTCGCACCACAATTCTGACCCAGTGTCATCGTGGGGTCTCCTCGGCACATGGTGCCGGCGGCCGGGTTTGGACCGGGAGTGGTGTGTGGGCCCTTGACCGGCGCGAATGCGATGGGCTGGCATCAGTGGGTGTGGGGGGGGAGAGGATCCTCACCACGGAAATGCCTCGCGTTTCCCGTCGTGTCCGACCTCGTCGCATCTGTCTCCTTGCCGTCGTTGCCGCGCCATTGACGGCATGCTGGCTGGAGGTTGGGGTCATCGTTGAAGGTCGGTGTAGGGTTCGCGAGGTGGTCTTCGGGCCGTTTGAGGCGACAGTCGTGTACCTACCTATATATGGCTGCTTTTCCGGTCTCACAACGTTATCAAGACAGTCTTCTTCGTTCACTACGTTCTGCCCATCGCCAACATCTGCATCGAGAGTTCTGTCATATCCCGTGCCCGGTCATCAAAGTCGTCCACCAATTTCTCCAACCTTCAACATGCCTGAGAAGCAGACCCGTCTCACCCTCGCCATGGAGTCTGGCATCCCCTTCGTCCTCAAGGCCGGCAAGGCCAGGTACACATGCCGCCTGCAGGACCGCTCCTCATAGTATGTACCAGCTCAGTTCAACGCTCGCCAGAGCAGTATCTGACTTCCTTTCAGCCAGCGCGCCAAGGCCCAGAGGGCGTCTTCTTCTGATTCCATCAACACCGAGTCGACCGATGGCAACTCGACCTCTTCTCACTGAACATCGTCTGCCGGGGTTTTCATTATTATTGCAGCATGGCGTTATGATGGCGTAGCAACAGATATCAGGTTGGGTTGAACGGCAAGAGGCATGCCTGGGGGCGTCAAGGTCGCCCCGAATGGATTATGAACCATCAATTCACACGACGGCTGAACGTGGAAATATTTGGAAGTCTATCAAGAGACTGTTTAGCAAGCATCTAGAACAGAGTATTCTGGAATTCTAGTCACATTTTTACGTCCGGGCGAGCGATTCATCATGGTGATCCATCCTTGTTTGTTAGGTCCGAGGTTCGTTCCAGCACGCTGGTCATCATCGGTACCTCGATTCGTAGAACATCACTTGATTTGGGCAAGGAAACCCGTGGTACTATTTCTTGACGTCTACCAAAGGAAGACAGCTCGAACCTCTCGTGCAAGCCTCGGACAAGGACCTCGAGCAAGCAAAAGTGATTGCAGCCAATCGTCGCAAAACACGCAATGTTAGGTCTCGTCAGCAAAAGATATCGCTGGTCAGTATGAGGGTCGAACTCATGACCTTGGCATTATTAGTACCACGCTCTAACCAACTGAGCTAACCGACCAATTGATGTAACGGGCGAAGAATTGGAGGTATTATGTCGACCGTGGTCATTCTTGTGGGCATGTTCACGATCGTGAGGTGGGGCCTAACAACGGCAAGCAGTGAGATCGTGGGCTAGGTGGGGAGGTTTTGCCGCAGGCCGGCGCTTGATTCTTATCGTGAACGTGGGCATGATCCAGATGACTTTGCTGCAAGATGTGGGGCGCCAAATCTGCAGCTGAGGCCCTGGCAGGTTCTAGAGAAAGTAGCTCCCCAAAGAAGGGACACGAATGGTGGCTGTTTAATATAAGTATCCCATTTCCCGAAACCCGATCACAAGCAGTAATGCCTCAACTGGTCGGTTAGCTCAGTTGGTTAGAGCGTGGTACTAATAATGCCAAGGTC